CTCTTATAAAAAGCTTACTCTTTTACTTTTCAAAACACAAGACATGTGTTCCTGAGTTTTATTTTAAATTTATGGTTCATTTTAACACATGATAATAAATACTCATTCTTGATAACAAGTAATACTTTTATCTTTTCATTGACTCCACCATAGACCATATAGATATTTAAGCCTCTAATCAAAAATGAAAAAAAGCTCTCCTCTAGAGATTCAAGAGAGCGATTTTCCCTTTTTCCAATTTCAGGAGAGCTTTTTTTGACTCTCCAGGAATTTATTCACGAGAAGGCCTGCTGAAATGTTATATAAATTATTAATTAGACATTTATTAACAAAACAAGACCATAATCAACTCTCGATGGCATCGGATACTCGAGATGTTAACTAGATTAGAACGGTTCGCCTTTTAAAACTTTAATTCAAACATGGGAAAGCGAGGCTAAGTCTTGAATTTACCATGCAGTGCCCTGGTATGAAGTAATTTGAATCAAATTTTCGATATTTTGATTTTACATTATCTACATGTATTTTTGAATATTATAGCAAGAATGGCCAGCTCTTTATCCAGATCTTACATAATGTATCTTTAAGAGATAAATATGCCTACTGCAAGTCTCCTAGGGGCTTCAAATGTTACAGAAATTATTAATAGAGTCTAGACCTTTATTAACATAACAAGCCCAAAATCAACTCTGTAGACCCTCGGATACAACTTGGATTTAATTAAATTTAATTTAATTTAATTAATTAGCTAACATTTACTGTTAATCACTGACGTCACTATCAGAGACTGCCAATGAAAGGACTGATAATCGAGGGTACCGTAGGCATTGAGAATATGGGGGCGGAGTTATCGTCTGTCAAACGATCGGCAATTCTTGGAGACAGTGTGGAGACAGTTGATGCCTATTTCTAGTCCAAAACTTCCAATAGTGATAACTTCGTTCAGAATAAAGTAATTTGACTGAAATTTTCAATATTTTCTTTTATTATCATATATTTTTGAACTGTTCAAAAATGACCACCTTTTTATTTTAAACAAGCCAACAGTGAGGCTGATGTCCCCCGCCGAAATCCCAAAATAAATAGATGACACATATCAATTAATCACACATTTCTTTTTTTCAAAAGTATCAAGCAATCAAACAATACACTAAGTTTCATCACCCTTTATCAGATAGGATCAAGATTATCTTGTCCCAAAGCATTGACCAATGAAATTGATTAGCTTCAGCTTGAAATGTTAATCATTGAACTCAGTCAAGACATTCACCTAATAAACATCTACATCAAGTTTAAACATTCTACCTCAATTAAAAGCAGAGTTGTTATGTTCCAAAGTCTTGACCAATCAATTTGCTTATCGCTCTTTAGCCTAAGCAGAAAATTCTCACCATCGTACTTAGTCAAGGTAATGATATAATAATCAACACATACACCAAGTTTGAACATTCTAGCTCAATTAGGAAGAGAGTTATCATGCCCCAAAGTATCAACCAATCAAATTGCTTATCTCTGCTTACCCTAAGCGGAAAATGCTCATCTTCGAACTCCATCAAGGCATTGACCTAATAAACACATACACCAAGTTTGAACATTCTAGCTCAATTAAAAGTTATCGTGTCCCAAAGCATCAACCAATCAAATTGCTTATCTCTGCTTACCCTAAGCGGAAAATGCTCATCTTCGAACTCCATCAAGGCATTGACCTAATCAACACATACACCAAGTTTGAACATTCTAGCCCAATTAGGAAGAGAGTTATCGTGTCCCAAAGCATCAACCAATCAAACTGCTTATCTCTGCTTACCCTAAGCGGAAAATGCTCATCTTCGAACTCCATCAAGGCATTGACCTAATAAACACATACACCAAGTTTGAACATTCTAGCTCAATTAGGAAGAGAGTTATTGTGTCCCAAAAAGTGTGACGGACAGACAGACGGACAAACAGACAGACGGACGAACCCATTTTAATAGTCCCCTGCTTTCTTCGAAAGGCGGGGGACAATTAAAATCTTAACTAATGTATCTTTAAGGTATACCAAAAGAATAAAGTATCTTCATGGACGCCTTCTTATTAAAGTCACATAATTTATAGAATATTATTTTAAATTTTGACAGATGTTACTGTGTTGATGATGAAGGAACTCAGTTACCAGGTTACAGGCAAACTATTGGCCAAACCGCTTCCATGAATTGTCGTAAGTAAAAATAAAACGGATGTCTTTAAATTCTGTTTGATAACTTTTCATTATTTTTGGAGAGGTGTTAAGAGGATAAATAGAGATTTTATTTATCACCCAATCCTTTCTTACATGCACAAATAAATATAATTCTTTGCTATAGATTTCACTTTTACTGAACCTGATTACATTACTGCATAATGATACATCATTTTTGACAGCAATTGAACCATTGGCATTGCAAAGTGATTTATATTGACCCAGTGTTTCCATCAGGTCAATTAAATAAAAATATTTCATTTTTAATAAAAAAAAAAAGAAGTTACTTTCTTACTGCTTTTAATTACGATTTATTTTGTAGTACTTACATAGTACCGGTATCTGAATAGGTTTATTTATAATTATGTAATAACCTGTTTCGCAGCTTGATCCGTATTAGGACATTCATATCCTCACCCAGGTCTGTTCAATCTAACAACACTGGCTGGCTCTCCAAAATGAACATGTTCCCTTCGCATACCGACATCTATCACAGAATAGTATTTTACCATAAAAATATTTTATCACCGACAATCTGATTAAAACACAGATCCTATTTCGTTTCGTTTTTATAGTTCAAAATTTCGTTTTACCAAGTCTTTACTACACAAGGATCTGGAAGAGTTGTTATATTATCGGCCTTTTGGTTGAAGTGAGGGATTAGCCAATGAAACGGTCTGTTACAGCGACTTTTTGGCATGACATGCACGGAACTGCGGATAAACCACTAGAAACGTCAACGCAGACGTCATAGGGTCAAAAGCCGCTAGTAGGGCCTACGACCCCTGACACCACCTTTTACTACAACCAGTCAGATCTTCATGTAGTGTAGGCCATCGAAAGTATAAAAACCGAAACGAAATATAGATCTGTATTTTAACAAAAATGGGGTTTAACGTCCACTCGACACAAACTAGGTCATTTCGGGACTAACATGTTTTTTTAGAATTTTATTTCAATTCAATAATTCGCTTGAGAGTTGGGGTCTTTAGCAGTGGCAGGAAAGCGGAGGACCTAGAGAAAACCCACAAGGTTGGACAGGCGACCCTACTCCTTGTCACGTACAACAGGGGATTCGAAACCATGCCAGTTGACTCAATGACAGGTCTTGTGATACAGCGCACACATGCTAACCATTCGGCCATCCACCCCTCCCCCCGTTAACCAGATTGTATCACCGAATAACACATTCTACAGTAAATATCGCTTGTGTGATAACTTTCATAATCTACAGAGTGATATGGTTTACATGAATTTGATTGGTTAATTAAAGATACATTATGGGAGATTTTAATAGAGAGTTGACCATTCTTGTTATAACAGTTCAAAAATAGATGATGAAAGAAGAATATATTGAAAATTTCAGTCAAATTACAGGTCTTATGATACAGCGCACACATGCTAACCATTCGGCCATCCACCCCTCCCCCCGTTAACCAGATTGTATCACCGAATAACACATTCGACAGTAAATATCGCTTGTGTGATAACTTTCATAATCTACTGAGTGATATGGTTTACATGAATTTGATTGGTTAATTAAAGATACATTATGGGAGATTTTAATAGAGAGTTGACCATTCTTGTTATAACAGTTCAAAAATAGATGATGAAAGAAGAATATATTGAAAATTTCAGTCAAATTACTTTATTCTGAACAAAGTTATCACCATTGTAATTTTTGACCAGAAATAGGAGTCAACTCTCTCTTCACCGTTTCCGACAATGGCCGATCGTTTGATTGACAGGCGTTAACTCCACCTACATAATCTTGATTATCAAGTAACGTTTTCAATTCGGTTTAAGACGGGGTGGCAATTCAATTCGTATGGCATTTATTTTTACTACAAATTAAAAATAAGACTTTTAATATATAGATAGGAAGCGCAAGTTTGAAAGGAATGGACCAGACCAAATCAATGAGTTCTTGTTAGCCTGCATGTACTCTTGTACTGTAACTGGTAGGCCTACGTAACTCCCAAAGTAGACAAATAGGAAACAGTGATCCAATGGGGTGATGCGATGTTTATCGATTTCCATAATTTTTCTGTAAACGCAAGAGACAAAAGAGCGTATAATACCGACATCCAAACTCTCATTTTAACCACAACTAAACATAATATCAAGGCCGTATGTATCGAACTTTCAATCAAATTGACTTACATGCGGCCTCTCTTCGCACACTCTATCATTTAGCCTCCATCTAAAATTTCCGGGAGTATGACGTCAACGTAATGGTTAATCTCCGCTTACGACGCCATTTAAAAATTTAATCAGTCAATGAAATCCTGTTTAAATCCAAGCAATCCGTGGTGTTGATTTTGTGCTTGTTGTGTAAATAAAGATCTAATTTATAGTTTCTATGACATCTGAAGCCTAAATAAGGACTTGCAATAACCAGATTTAGCTCTTGCATAATGTATGTTTAAAAAGGAACTACTTCTTTTATTAAAAAGAAACTACTTTTGGGCTAAATCTATTTGTTATGGCCGGCTCAATTTTTCTCAAGGACGCTGAGATGTAAATGTTTGAACACGTGATTGAACTGATTGTTGGTGAGATTGTACGTTAGGGTAAGCACTGGGCTAGGTCCGGGGTTAGGGTTAGCGTTAATGTGATTAGCATTAGACCGGTTTACAGCTCGTGACCAATGACGAAAAAATGAGCTGGCCTTATCAATTAGATATCCCTACTTTTGGGAACCAGGGCCCGATTCCTAGAAAATTCTTAAGCACGCCCTTGTGCTTAGATTTTAAGTAGACTTTACATTTAAACTTACCTTATTTTATGTTCCCAGAAAATTCTTAAGAACATTCTTGTGCTTATTTATAGATTGTAAGTAGACTTTGGGGTAAGTACAAGCACGTTCTTATGTGTTCCAAGAAAATACTTAAGCACAACTTTCTTCTTTCATTACTTTCAACATTGTCAATCTAAGCACAAGTCCCAAGCAAGGTTAAACAGGATGGCTTGCTTACCCTTAAGTCTGTTTCTTCTTCAAACAAGATGGCTGACCGTAGAGATATTCGGCGGCATTTGCTACATCTTTTGATACCAAAGAGACAATTAAAAAACAGAGAAAATCCTTAAGAAACATATTCTCGAGAAGCATGCTATAAATAATTAGAAAAATTTCGCTTCTACCCTAAAGAAACTATTATTATTAGATATAATGGATGCATTTGCCATGCCCCCTATCTATACACCAAGGGGGTACTCATTGAACGTTAGGCCTACGGAATTGAATTCTCTCAATCCAAGAAATAGTGAAAAATTCAATTCGAGTAAAAAGGGGGATTTCGGGCTGCGTCAACTGAACTGAATAAAGTAAATATCTCAACATAGATCTAGCACCGTTCTATGATCTCAACCAACTCACACCACCCCCGTGGTCGGGGACTGACAGAAGTGTGACAGGGCTGAATTCCGCGTTACTCGATTGCGATTCTGTCAATTCGGGACGTTCTGGGCTGTGAATCGAGCAATCTGATTAAAACACAGATCCAATTTCGTTTCGTTTTTATAGTTCAAAATTTCGATTTTACTTGTCTTTACTACCATTCGGCAAACCTTGACAGTACCGGAATCTGCCGAGGTTTGCCGAGTGTCTTTACTACATGTAGCCATAGAACTATTTAGTTCTATGATGTAGCCTAGTGTAGGCCATCGAAAGTATAAAAAAACGAAACGAAATATAGATCTCTATTTTAACATCGAGCATACCCATATAAAATCGCATACTGCACGCAGCGACCCATCTACGTCATACTTCCCAGAATTCTCAGCCGGAGCTAGCTGTAGATAGGCAGCCTAATAAGTTTGGGACATAGAGTTATAAATCTATGGTTTGGGATGATAAAATCGTAGTCTCAATTTACTTGTCACAATGTGCTTACGTAATAATGGTCGTGAGAATTTTCTAGAGACGGTAATATCGTTGGAGAAAAGTTCTCAATTACCATATAAAATTACAATACCCTTGCCTTTATTTATATAAGTTATAACCATCTAAAGATAAAGGAGTGTCAATATTATCTGTGATAGAATGATGAAACTTACTAAAAAAAAAAAGTGTAGGCCTATAGCCTAGTCGATAAATCAGTTTGATTGCTTGATACTTTTGAAAAAAATAAATGTGCGATTAATTAATATGTGTCATCTATTTATTTTGGGATTCCGGCGGGGGACATCAGCCTCACTGTTGGCTTGTTTCTATTTTTTGTACTCCTCTTGACAGTCGTATCCATAGAGGTGTAGGCCTATATTAATATATTGACATATGGTCTTTGGTTATTATAAACTTACCTGTGTCACTGTTTGAAGCAACTCCCGTTAAATAAAATCTATTGCACAATTTATATAAGTAATATCCCAACGAATAAAAAAGCCGATTACGGTACGTCACTCTTCAGGAGAGATCATTTCGTAGATGTCACTGTTGGCTTGTTTCCATTTCTAGTACTCCTCTTGACAGTCGTATCCATAGAGGCGTAGGCCTATATATTGACCTCCATGGTCGTATCATTGCCTGCCCAGTTTTCACTTGCTAGATTGTTGTCTTATATTTTATCGTACTCTCTTAACATAGCAAAAGCAAACTCGTGAATGATCTTCAACATCCCAAGTTTTCTTCACATAATATAGTAGTGTGTATCTAACCATTTCCCACTTCTCTACTAGATCTATCTGTAAACAGTGGTATTCGGTTGGGGATAGCCATACTGAGCCCATTACTACTACTTTGGTGATACCTCTTATGAAGCATACTTTGGGAATGTTAATAAAATTTATAAATGACAAGTCGTTTTGTACACTGGTAACTTTCTGAAACTTCGACCTAAATGAGCTGTGAATATTCTTTCACTCATTGGTAGGCCTACTCATTCTATCAAATGTCCATACCTAAAGTAACCTTCCCTGACACTATTAAAGGTACATTATGGCAGATTCGATAACGAGTTGGCAGTTCTTTACTATAATAGTTAAAAACTATATAATGTAAAGGCAATTTGATGAAAATTTCATTCAAATTGATCCACTATGAACCGAGAAATAAACGATTGAAATTTCTGCCTAGCCTCGATCATCATTACTGAAGTCAGTACGATAAACAGCATAGTCTCAATTATCCATTTAATCGTGAAGGAAAGTTATGCAGTAAATCGGCTCATAATTCACTAAAGATTGCAGGCTAGCAATGCCATCATCTAGAGTTGATAATGGTCTGGATAGGTCAATTAATGTCTAATTAATAATTTAGATAACATTTCAGGCCAAAAGAAAGACATGCAATAGACAGATTTAGCTAGGCCGATGTGACTGACAAAACATGACTCTATCCTGCTATACCAAATTTATACCATCTCTATGGTAACTTATGCCATCTGCTCGATTTGTAGGCTAAAGTACTCCAAGGTTCATCTTTGAAGGAAGGTTCATTTGAGAATTGCGGTACAGAGGCTTTTGGGAAGAAATCTAATTATAATAATTATAGATTGTATGAATTGTTGTGTTAGAGATTGTGTGTATTAGATAAATTGAGAAGACAGTATAAATATTATACCATATTTCAAGGATATTCCAATTATTATATTTCAAGGATCTATAAATGGAGATAAATGTATTAAAACATGAACCCGATTACATGAATGAAAATTGTATAATTGTCAAAATATTATATTTACAGATTGTGCTAGAGATGAAAAGAACTATAGTAAAACAGGATTATTAGGAAAAATGTTTAATTGTCAAGATAATGGTAATTATTCACCCTATAAATGTCTGGGTTCTGTCTGTTTCTGTACTGATGAAAATGGTTTGATAAAAGGATCAAAGATGATTAACATAGGAGAGTTATCTTCCCTTCAATGTACACAATAAATCAGTTCATAATTACATGTATATGTATTTGTTGTATAAAGATGTAAGGGCCAGTTCAAATGTCCATATACTATCCTTATTTACTATTTATTGTGCTGTTGAAAACAACGTATCAGCTATATATTATTCAACAGAAAATTTATCAATCTATGGTCTGCCACATATATATATATATATTATATAAGATGCACTTCTACATGTAGCTGAGAGATGAAATTAAAAAATGTACTCAAAAAAATATCAATAGAAACAATTGGAACTTTAAAAGTATAGAATATAAAAAGTTTTTGGTATTTCTAATAATATTGTATAATGTGCAGCAGACAGACTAAAATGGAGTTTAATATCCATTTCATTTCAGGGCTAACATATATATACTGAGCGCCATGGAAAGCGCATCACTTAGTTTTTCGTATAACAAAATGATCCTGTAAACATATCTTATTTATTTTGCTTCTTAATTTGAACAATATTCAAATGGGAACATATCAATAACAACACATTTGTACACTTATGGATGTTTAATCTGTAATCAACGGTACAAAGTCAGAGGGGTCAAAACCAAAAGTACGACCCAGATGTCAGTAGCGTGTGTGTCCTCCACGGGCTCTTACGCACGCTGTGCAGCGACGTCGCATGGAATTTACCAATGTTTGAAAGAAGGCCTGGGGCAAATTGTTCAATTCTTGGACAAGACCAGCTTCTAAAGCAGCAATGGTGTGCATCTGTGGTCTCCGATACAGACGGCGTCCAATCTCATCCCAGACATGTTCTATCGGTGCCATGTCCGGAGACATGGCTGGCCAGTCCAAGACATTGATGTTGTTAGCAGTCAGGTAGTCCATTATCCTGTTGGAAGTGCTGAAGTTGTGGGTGCGCTCGAAACATCGGAACAATTGGTTGCAAGACATCATCACGGTAGGCTACAGCATTAGCGCGACCCCTGCAAATGTGTAGGGCGGTCCAGTGATGAAATGTGAAGCCTCCCCTCACCATTACACTTCCCCCACCCCATCGATTCGTTTCGAAGACGCAGCAGTCTGCAAGACGTTCCCCAAGACGTCTCCACACACGTTGACGGCCATCAGCGTGATAAAGATGAAAGCGACTCTCATCACTGAAGAGCACACTTTGCCAGTCTACTCTTCTCCATGTCTGGTGTCCTTGAGCCCATATCAAACGCCGCTGACGGTGATGATCTCTGAGGATAGCTCCAACATAAGGTCGTCGTGCACGGAGCCCTACTTCTCTTAGACGACGTCTTACGGTGTTGGCACTTACTGGTCCTTGTCTTCCGACGACTGCTGCAGCTGTTCGAGTCACTGGGCGGAATCTGTCACGCAGATGAGTGACCCGGATGTAGCGGTCTTGAGTCTGGGTTGTAACGCGTTGTGGACCAGGACGTTGACGGTCACGTGTTGATCCAGTAACTCGAACACGTTCCACCAACCTTACAATAGTGGACTGATGACAATTGAAGTGTCTGGCAATAGCACGTGTAGACATGCCAGCCCTGGACATTCCCATGGCTTCATTCCGTTGATTTTCAGTAAGTCACGGCATCTCTAGCTCGATTCCGTCACACGTCCAACAACAAATTACGACAGATTGACGTTTCACAGTTCATGTACTGCACATTAAGTTGAAAACATGCTTTTAAAGGGCTCAGTATATTTATATCAATAATTTGCTTGCACATTAAGGTCTTTAGAAGGGGGAGGAAACCAGAGAAAAACCCATAACTTGCACAGATAAAAGACCTAAAGATCTACAACCAAAAGTTTAGACCACTCGGCGAACCAACCCCCTAATGCTCTGTCAATAATATTACATTGTTTCAAAGCACTCTTTCCAATTCATTTTTACTGTCTGAATGGCACAAGCAATAATCTCAACAAAATAACCACTCTGTTAATTAAGGGCCTATATTTAAATGCTGAACTACCTCTATTCTAAATGTACCATACAAACATTATTTTAACTACGAGTTACACACTGATACTGTTGGGATTTTGGGATTATCTCTCATGATTTGATTCTTTCTAGTGTTTGAGAACAAATCATTCAGAATAATATAGCTATTACTAAGTTGAAATATGTGAAGTATCAACTACCTCACTTTTATTATACCGAGTATGTATGAATATATTTACAATAGTGCTGAGTATGATATTTACATGAGGATCCATGTTACATGCGAATTGTTTTATCTCTATTCTTAGTCGAATTGTTTCTATAAATAAAGTGAGCACTTAATAACACTAGTCTTCATCATCCTCTTGAGATCTCATTGCTGTTCCTGCATTAATAACACTTGCAAAATCTTCTCGGCTAGCTTTTAACCTTTCTCCTAAAAAAAAAAAATAGATAAATAAACATAAAAAAATCATGGTAAACCTGGAAACATCTATTAAAATCACATAACCAGATAATGTGTACATTTCATTCTGGAATTAGAAGTCTTCTATAAATTCTAACTGCCAAGGGATCTTGAAAGTATACTGTCAGTGCTAATGTGTGGATATGTTCTTGTTTATTCCCAATCATCGAAACAACTCGACACGAATAATGGTTCACCTCACAATTAGGGAAACATGTATGTCTTCTAAAGAACTTAACAACCATATGCAACATAGACAGTAGTCCAAACATCTGGGCCAAAAACACACTTTTGTTTGATATATAATGTTTCTCGGTGGATTATTGTTAGGTAGGGTCCCCTAGATTTTTCCAGGGTGGGTGTGGTCGTGTCACCCTTGGGGAAAATTAAATATTCAAGATGACGGCCAATAATGGCGGGAAAAATACAAAAAATCATTTTTCACCATCCTAGGTGATGTAATATATCGTTTTATAGGTTTTCGAGGTCGCTGAACACGAATTCAGGCATATTTTTAACACCTGACCTATTCTAACAAAGATATTCAAAATGGCAGTGGAAGTACAAGAATTTCATATTTCGCCCTACTAGGTCATGTAATAACTGTTTTTGGAGTAGCTTAACACGAATTCGGACATGTTTTAACATAAGACCCCTGATGACGGTGGAAAATAGAAAAAAAACAAAGTTCACACAGCTAGATTTATGATAAATCATTCCAGAAATTTCAATTTAAGCTAAAACTATAAGTAACAAAAAGATACGATATGTAAAACATATAACCAAAGCAATATTAATATTACTGTATCATATTGTGTCGTGTTCATCATCTGGATGATGTGAGGGATTAGTCCATGTAACGGTCTGTTACAGCGAGTTATTGCTGTGAGGTGCACAGAACTGTGGGTAACCCACTAGAAACATCTGACAGGAACATCTACCTTTAGGAACATTTTAAGTGACCCTGTTCAAAACGTAACATATACATAATGTACGCTTGTACAGGAGTAGTTGTGAGTATGACACAGACTCACTAACCAGGAAATCCCGTTTCAGATGACGGAGTTGACCGAGAAAGTTGGTAGAGAAGCAACAAGTCGGTCTGATGTAAAGAAAAACCGTTGTACTCTCGTGTACTCGTTGGCGTGCACCTAATTCGACGCAGAACAGAAAAACTGCATAGCATGTTTCCATCTTAAATATTTATAGGACCATGTTGGTTGCAAACATTCGATTGTTTGAACAACGATATCGTTTCCGGACATTAAAAATAGTAATAAGACATGACCAGGATAATAGAGAGTAACAAGGTGATATATTCCGGGGATTAGAGTCGGTAGTACCAATAGTAATGGGACACAGACACACAATGAAATGAAATACCGACAGACACACAAGAATAATAGGGAGACAGTAGGTCGGGTATTCCATGTAATCTGAGTCGGTCGGTAGTACTAATAGTAATGGAAATAGACTCATGAATAACAGGGAAAATAAAGGTGATATATTCCGGTGATCACGCTGTAATGGACACCGAAACACACAAATAACAGAGAGAATCAAGGTGTAGTATTAGTCAAAACGGTTTTTATCAGAAAAATGATTATTCAGAACTACTGTTTATGCAACTGTTATTATCACTAAACAATTAGTAGCCATTGTTTCAGTCGGATACCAAAACACATATAATGATCGATAGATAAAGTTGTGCTCGCTAGCGAACTAGGCTAGCTCGCTTGCTAGTGAGATGACTTTGAGTCATCTGGCGTTTGAGCACACAAAATGGACTTGGGAAGATAGGAAAACCAACTATGTATATGAATATCGATAATGATTAAGTTATTTATCGCTTGGTCCCTTCTCATGTACCTTGGTTATAAATGTTCGGATGTTAAAAAGATGTCCAAATTCGCGAGCCCCAAAACATATAAAACAATATATTACAAGACCTAGTAGGGCGAAATATGAAATTTTTTATATTTCCGACACCATTTAGAATTTCTTTGTCAGAATAGGTCGCGTTTTAAAAATATGCCCGTTTTCGTGTTCAGCGACCCCGAAAACCTATAAAACGATATATTATTACACGACCTAGGATGGTGATACGACCACACCCACCCTGGAAAAATCAAGGGGGCACTACCCAACAATAATCCACCAAGAAACATTATATATCAGGCAAAAGTGTGTTCAGTGATGGTTTGGCATTTGACCTCCCGACTAGTCCTAAAACAAGGTAAGAGCTAAATCTGCCTATTGCAAGTCTTTTTCTTTTGGCTTTAAATGTTATATAAACTATCATTTAAACATTTATTAACATGACAAGCCCATAGGTCATTGGATGGCTCAGATTTTAAGTAGAGTAGAACACTTCCGCCATTTAATGATTTAATTTTAATAAAGAAAAGCGGGACTAAGTCTCGAATAACAAATACCGTTGTTACGTTAATAAACAATCAATGCCACATATTGTCAAAACTCAATACAGTAATAACTTCGCTCAGAATAAAGTAATTTGATTTTACATTATCTATTTTTGAAATATTATAGCAAGAACCTACACAATGTAGCTCTGTATCTAATTCTTACATAATGCATCTTTAACAAAGAGCAAAGGTACATCAAATGTAGTTTTAGTTGGGCCACATTCTACATTCTGCAGAGGAACAGTCATTGGTTGGTGACCACTTCATTGTTAATCAAATATGTCTAAATTTGACATAATGTAATCAGAAAATAACTAGATAGGCCAAATCAACTGAAATGTTCTGATCTTATGCCCTAGATGTATGTTGAAATATTTTTTTATTCATTCCTCTCATGGGGCTGTACAATGTAGCCATATTGTATACTAACAATTTGACAGGAGTTTTCAGCAACTTCCCTTTACATTATCTGGTTTTTAACTAATATAGTGAGAACTGCCAGCTCTTTATCTAATCTCCCATAATGTATCTTTAACATAAATTTATGATAAATATTAGCTTCTGAACATACTTATTAATTCTGCAATGGCCCTTTGTGTTCTTCTTTCAAGTTTTTCTAATTTTTTAGTTACATCTCTTTTTAAATCCCAATCAGGTTTTCTTGGAGCAAGGTTGGTTAAATCCTAAATAAAAAGATAGGTTGCTAGGGAATGAAACATTTGTCAATAGCATTCACAATTTCTTTTCGAACTGGTCAAAGTGGAAATAATTATCCAAAATCAGTTGTCTCATGAAAATAAAAATCAGTGTATAAATTTCAAGTTAATCCGCAAAATTTGTGTGTGCGATCAAGGGCCAAAACTCCAACGTTAAATCTACATCTCATGAACACAAACATGTGTCAAAGTATTTTTCAAAGTGATCAATCGAGGGTCATAACAGTAATTATTGGAAATGATTTTTAAAATCAAGAGGCTTCTTTATGAACATAAACCATGTTTATGAATTTCAAGTCAATTGGATGATAACTTTAGCCTTAAAGAGTATATGAAAGCAATTGTTGACAATGGAGGATGGACTGATGAATGGGGCATTGATTATGTATGACAACATTTCAATGTGAGCACTTAAAGAGAAATGTCTATTGGAAATAGAATGCACCATAGTCTTTAAGGAAATCTCTATTATTGCAAGGGCATAAAATATAACATGACAGTTGAATCTTTAAATCAAAAGTCAATACTAAACTTTCCAAATATTGAGACTAACATACGCTAGTTTACATTTTTTGGGGTTATGAGTATAATACATAGAGGGAGAAGTTTGACCAGACAGTGGCAATACGAATGACAATTTCCTTGAGACCAAAACTTAATTAAGAATCCACTTGAGATTTCTCTGGCTTTTTATTTGAAGAAATATTTTCAGAAGGAAAGTACATGTACCACAGTTACTAATATTAGGTATGGGAGGGAAATACCTCTTATTTGACATTTACTAATCACGTGGATCTGTGACTAAGCAAAAACATTTGTGAGACACAGGAATTTAATTAAGGTCATGTTTCATGGTGACATTTTGGGAAATGCAACGTCAAATATTTAACAAACATACAAAGAACAGTAACTGAATAATGCTGAAGAATACATAGCATACCAGTAACCTTATACATTGAAGTAAAGTAAATAAACCAGGTGTGACAATGAATGCATCAACATAACAGGAACTGTGAAATGGTCAAATGTTCCCAAATACTGTATTTTACTCAGTTTATTAGGAATCCCAAGACCAAATCGATGCTACTAATATTGGGTGACAAGATTTTGGACATTTCACATTTTGAAATTCTCACCAACTGTTGGGCCAGCTATACGTACCACTTCATCAATATGATGTTCAGTTTTAGATGATTCCAATTGATCTTTCACATTTTCTGATACTGAAAAAAAACAAGATAGACATCAAATTTTATTTATTTCTTCAATGTGTATATCTAAAATTCTAAGAGCTAAAGACATCTGTTTCTTTGACACTTGTATATAAACTTATCTGTGGAATGTGCAGCAGAATTGTTTGGCATTTCAAACACAAATTTTTTACGTCTAAATTTTAAAAAGTGAAATTAACTGACCACTAAGAGGTTTTACGTCTAAATTTTAAAAAGTGAAATTAACTGACCACTAAGAGGTTTTATTCTTGGTAATGCGCCGTCCCGTAGCTCTTCACTCTGTGGTTTGTAACTTCTAAATATTGGCCTGAAATACATTAAAGATACTTTCTCAGAAAAGTATTTATCGGGTGGTTCTTTCCAATAAAAGTATGTCAAATTTGGTATATATGGAAAGTTTAGACACCCAATCTTACTAAAAAAATATACTGGATTAGCCAAAAAAACGCCCATGTGGCAAGCACTGGGCAAAATTGTCAGGGTATTACTAACTGGCAACCCAACTGTTATCTGCCAGCTTATTGCGTGCCAGCTTAAGTGAGGGAGCGGTTGTTATTTCTTGAACATTGAGGGGTGTCAACGTACAAAAGACTCTGCAAATAAACGGCGGAAAAAGAAGTTGACAGAAATAATTAAGAATTTACTTAGGCCTCAATATGTATTGTAAATGTACAGTAAGTAATGATAAATACATTCTGAAAAATGGACCCTCCCACAATGAAGCTAAGTTGACATCTAACAACAGCTTACTTATAACTATATAGGTATCCCCGATGAATACAAAGTTTTGAGAGGGAGGGAATTGAAGCAAATTTTTGATAGATTGGTTACTTTGAATATGTTTTTAGTCCAAATATATCATCAAATCACAAAGTTTGTACGCAGGAATGTATCTTTAAAATATAAAATTATGACATATTGTTGGAATACATATCTTGGGAAGAAAACAGGTCGATGCAAATTGAAATTTTTCTAACCCTCTTTTAAAGACATTGAAAGTGCCAATGGGTTTTTTTTTCTCTAAATGTTATATTATCTAGATACAAATGAATATTTTGAATTAGATGCACAGTTTAGTAACCACAGCTTTAAGTTTAAGATTGGTTGATAATGCTTGCGATTAATTGTTTTCTAAATTAATCCAGCGGTTGGACAGTAAATTAAACAAGCTAAAAAAAAAAAAAACAGCGGCTGCCAGGCAGGATACGCCAACATTTTGCAAGAGATGGATAGAGAACAAGCTAAAAACAAACACAATTTTTTGTACAATCAAGGGCAATAATCCAGAAAGTTATGGCCTGAAATGTGCAAATATCAAAAGGGACTAAGATCTCCCCAGAGAAAATGATACCGAAATTTCAGTGAGATTTCACCAAAATTTCAGTGAATTGCCCAATCTCACTGAAATGACCAAATTTCACTGAAATAAAAATATATTTTGGTCTATTACTGAAATTTCACTGAAATAAATAAAAATTTTGGTCTACTGAAATTTCACTGAAATAAAATATATTTTGGTCTACTGGAATTTCACTGAAATATTTATATTGCAAATTTCATTGAAATTTCACTGAAATTAAAAAAATAAAAATGTCATTTTTTCATTGCAAATATTTTAATAACTGCATGTAAAGATTTGTAATTTGTGAAAGAGAGCACTTCGAAAGTATGGCCTCATAGTGTCAGAAGACAAAATGTTTTTAATTTCCATTAATTAATCACATGATTTCGTGAAGCAGACAATTTCATTGACGTTTATTTTATTCGTCCATCACCGTGCGTATAATCCACGAACACATGCTAAGTAATATTAACTACATGTTTAAAATGATGTCTAAACTTATGAATGACTCAACATCAAAATTTTTTCTGATATGTTCCGATAATCATTGTATTATGATAGAATGGCTATTTTCTCAAAAGTAACACTCGTGTTTCAATAGCCATATTTGGAAACGAGGTCATCAATTACGGCACCCGTAAATTTCATTACACGGTAAATATTTTACGCTCAATTAATACAATCATGTTTTAAAATCAACCTCTTTTATTGTGAAAAGATAGAATAAATCTTAACCGTCTTAAATTCAAATTTTGAGGTCACTGCCAGTTAGCGTAAACAATGTCAATGACGGAGATTCCAACAAGAGTGTCGGGTTACAGGCGAGCGGCAATGTTTTTAAAAATTTTGGAATGGAAAACGAAGGAAGAAATTTTTAATTCTATAATGGTTGTAAATTATATGAAACTCTCATGCAAACAAAAGCTAGGACCTCGCGTGCATTATTTCATTACTAAATTGATAAACTGGTGCTGCTATTTAAACAGATTAACGGGCTAATTAACCTAAGTTCTTTTCAGTGAGATTTCAGTAATATTTTCACTGAAATTTCAGTGTGTATTTTCACAGGGGCTTTGGGATATAAAGATATGTTTTAAGTTTCATCAAAATCGGATAAAAATTGTGACCTCTAGAGGGTCCGCAACCTTTGTATTACACACTTCTACACAATTTGCGTATAAAGAGTGGCCATTTTGTTAGGCAGTTTCATTTCAATTTTCTCGAAATCAGATTTCTACCTTCAGTATGGTGGAATGGTGATGTGTTTAAACGGTTTTTAAAATCGGAAAAAAATTGTGACCTCTAGAGGGTACACAACATTGATTTACCAGATGTTTACACTAATTGCGTACAGGGGGCGGCCATTTTGACCGGCAGTTTTGGTCCGATTTTTACGATTCGATATGTACAAAAATCGACAGGAACCAAGATATTTGGGTTATAAACATGCATTTCAAGTTTCATCAAAATCAGATGAAAATTGTGACCTTCAGAGGGTCCACAACCCTGATACACAATATTTTGACACTATTTGCGGACGTGGGGCGGCCCTTTTGTCCGTCAGTTTCGGTCCGATTTGTTGGTTATGAAACATTTATAATACACTAAAATCTGATCAAGAGTAACAACTCATTAAGTGGTTATCAGAAAATCATTAGAATTTGTTTGGCTCATGCTAACATTTAGTACACAAAACATTTAATATCATGGATTTAGCTGTTCAAGTTATCAAAAATCATTGAAAATCAATATACTTGTTCATCTCAAGACCTTAAACTCTGTGTATCAATCTAAAGTCAATCGAAACGATTATATATAGCCATAAACATGGTATATAAATATAAAATCAATCAGATAACTATGGTCTCTAAAGCATCCACAAGATTTTTCAAAGTGATCAAGGGTTCTAACTCTGGCAGTAAAATTCAGAAATTGTTGAAAATCAATGACCTTAAACACTGTGTATAAATATAAAGTCAATCGGATATTAAACATACATTGTGCAAGAGCTTAATCTGCCTATTTCAGGTCTTTCTTTAGGCTTGAAATGTTATCTAAATTATTAATTAGACATTAATTAACCTATCCAGGCCATAATCAACTCTAGATGGCAGCGCTAGCCTGCGATCTTTAGTGGATTTTAAGCCGATTTACTGCATAACTTTCCTTCTTGATTAAACGATTAAATGGATAATCGAGACAATGCTGTTTATCGTACTGACTTTAGTAATAATGACCGAGGCTTATGAGAATTTCAGTCGCTCAGTTCTCGGTTCATAGTGAATCAATTTGAATGAAATTTTCACCAAATTGCCTTGACATTATCTAGTTTTTAACTATTATAGTGAGAACTGCCAACTCGTTACCGAATCTCCCATAATGTATCTTTAACTTTAACCTGGCAGTAATTATTGGAAATCATTGAAAATCAATAGGCTTCTTCGTCTCATGACCTTAACACTTCATAAATTTAAAGTCAATCAGATATTAACTTTTGCCTCTAGAGCGGCCACAAGATTTTTCAAAGTGATCAAGGGCCATAACTGCAGTAATTATTGGAAATCATTGAAATTCAATAGGCTTTTTCGTCTCATGACCTTAACACTGTATAAATTTAAAGTCAATCAGATATTAACTTTAGCCTCTAGAGCACCCACAAGATTTTTCAAAGTGATCAAGGGCCATAACTCTAGCAGTAATTATCGGAAATTGTTGAAAATCAATAGATGTCTTCGTCTCACGACCTTAAACACTGTGTATAAATTTTAAGTCAATCGGATATTAACTTTAGCCTCTAGAGTGTCCACAAAATTTTTCAAAGTGATCAAGGGCCATAACTCTGGTAGTAATTATCGAACCTTAAACACTGTGTATAAATCTGAAGTCAATCAGATATTAACTTTCAATGTGGGCGTATAAAAACCGAATTGTCATGGATGTACATGTAATCATGCGTTAAATTGAGAATTAAGAAAAAATACATGAAATAATGGTACATGGAGTATAAACTGGGAGTTGAATATCCATCATGGATGCTGTAGCTATTTGTTTTCATTCTGTAAAAATGTGCTTATTCTGCCTTTTTTACATAAATCGGTAACAACATGACCTATAAAATAAAACTACCCATGTTTATAATATATTAATGATTAAATTTTAGCCGATATATTATTCGATCTGTAGAAAATGGACCAAAACTAACCCGAAGAAATATACTAATGTCCAAAAGAAAGTATACACTGTGCATTTTGTGCTGCATCAACCAAAGTCGTTTTTCCATGGTATACGGTATCTGGGTAGAATGTCAATTTGTTTCACATTTTTATTTTGCTTAGAAATGTTGAGTTTGGACGCAAGAGACAAACTCAGTAATGCTTTATCAAATGTTTTTAATCTAAACAAAACTTAGTCATACTTTTAGTGTGTATACTTTCTTTTGGACATCAGTATAGCATTATTCATTGACAGACATAAAACACTATGAACGCACGTTTTTTAAAAGTAGAATTATATATTATATCAACAAAGAATAATTCACATAGAAACGTTAACTAAAGTGAAATGTGTCATGCAATATTGCGAGTAGGCTGTCTATTTTAATTTGTAAAGATTATGTTTCACTAGTAGTAGTATCAGATCAGAAGTAAATGTAGCCTATATTTATTTTATGAAGTCGATTTTTAAGTTCACATTAGGTGGGTATGAAAACTAATCCTTAGCACTGGTTTGTTTTGTTTATTTCATTTTATTTATTTTTTCTATGCAAGCTGTTTATGATAGACTCTGAAGCGGAGGCCTCATGCACTCAGTGACCAGACTATCTGTCAGATCAAAAATTGTTACCCCTACTAGTTGATAAACAAAAAGAAACAGCTAGCAAAAAACAATTTTTGTTTGAAACCTTTCAAATATACAATATATTGTTATTATTTTATATAAATAAAAAGTAACTATTTATTTTATTTATTTATTTATTAAGAATTAAATTGAATTGAATATTTCGTACGATGAAACTTAAACCTTGTAATTTTACTATTTTATACCTATTTTCTGTTACTGATGTAACAAATCAGTTGCATTAGGGACAAATTTTACTTTCGTACAATTTCATGTACATTTTCGTTCTATTTTATTTTAATTTTAAAAAAAATTGTTAACTGCCCACCCTCATGGGTTTTCTCTGCAGCATCCCCACTGTTAAAGACCCTTACTGAAAAGCAAATTATAAAATTAAAATAGTGGCACATTATGTTAGTCCCAAAATGACCTAATCTGTGTCAAGTGGAGTTTAAACCCTCTCTCAACATCCTTCTTTCTCTTTCTCCATATAACTTTCTTTTTTCCCCTGCTTGAAATGCATATTTTAGGATTTGTGTGATGGGAGCAAATATTTAGCAGGAAAAATAAAAAACAATCGTCAAATTTAAGCCTAACCCTGTTCATTGAAAAAATGTTTTAACGGTTTTGAAATTCTAATATTTTGGTGATTATTTCTGCCAGGATTCAAAGCAATTGCTCAAAAAATAAAATTTGGTTGGTACATGCTATATTTATTTGACTTGAGAAATTCAACTATCACATCAGCTTCGCTTTACTTAGTTCAGCTCTGAACGTAGGTCTGATTACACTCGGCCTGTACGTTCAGGAACTGTCCTATTCAATCCTTGGCAAAACTGAAATCGCTTCCAAGTCAATTTTACTGGGCAACTTTTTACTGCTAAACGGTCGTGTGTCAGTCCCTGTGAACGCCTAAACAATATAAATGAACATCTTAGTGAGAAAATAAGACCTTGCTTATTGCTAGAACCAGTATGAGGGACACAATACGCTGTTAAAAAATATGTCTCCGTCTTCTAACCGACTTGGCGAACTCGACCATATCAGATGAAACGAAATTTAGGTAAGCCTGGGAGAAAAAAATTGAAATCTTTGAAAAGTTGAGAATCTTCAGTCATTTATTGCTTTGCCTAGCAAATTACAATAATTTACAATCAAATTCTTTCAAAGATTTGAATTTTTTTTTTCTCCCACGCTTACCTAAATTTCGTTTCATCTTATATGGTCGAGTTCGTAAATTTGTCTGCCAATGAAGTCTGCCAAGTCGGGTAGAAGACGGAGACGTATTTTTTTAACAGCGTGTTGTGTGGCTCATACTGGTTCTAGCGAGGTAAGCAAGGTCTTATTTTCTCACTAAGATGTTCATTTATATTGTTCAGGCGTTCACAGGGACTGACACGCGACCGTTTAGCAGTAAAAAGTTGCCCAGTAAAATTGACTGGGAAGCGATTTCAGTTCCGCCAAGGATTCAATAGGACAGTCCCTGAACGTACAGGCCGAGTGTATTGAGACCTAGTACGTTCAGAGCTGAACTACGCTCTACTCGGGCAATGCCTGTTACATATTACACTAACTTCGGTAGTTTTTCCTTCTCTAATGTATCTTCCTCGGCATTCTCAGAATCTCCAGATTCCTTTTGTTTTTTTCTTTGCCTAAGAGCTTTCAATCTCTCTTTTCTTTTTAAAGCTTCATTTTCTAAATTACCCACGCCAGCCATGATTAAAAAATAAAGACTGTTTCTGTTTTCTTTTTACAGAAGACTGTCGTTGGGATCATAGATATCCGTTGGGATTTACTTCCCTTGACAAAATTATTTTATACTTGTAATGCCAGACTACAAAAGTAGCGCAGAGTTATCCATTACATTTTTAATTTTCTATATTAAAGAATAATTTTAGTGTATGACCATGGCGTCATTAGTTACTATTTTACAACTTGACACTCAGAGACAAGTTTATGTTATAATATCATGAAGTATGAACGTTTTTTTTTTTTATTGTTTAGTCTAGAATGGCCTTTAAAGGAGCTAAATCGCTAATATTTGGGACCATTGACACAAATGGGTTGCAACGCATAATAATGTAATATGAATGTATATAAACTTAAACTGATTTATTATTTAATATGTAACAGGCATTGCCTGAGTAGAGCGAAGCTGATTATTGTCAAATATAAAACCTTCATAATTAATTTTCTCAAGTGATACAAAAAATGTTAAATAATTTAGTTTTTCCAAATTGATTTTCATTTAGATCTAAATTGTATACATTAATTTTGTTTTTTAAAAAAGAACAAAAAAGTGTGAGAATTATTTTCATTGACGTCAAAAATATGTGACGTCATTGATTAGACGCGTCATAGAAATAGTTCTGTGAGGCGCGTAATCTCGCTTGGGCGAGATTTGGTAAGTTGACATGCGCATTGCCTGTTTTGCCCAGTGTATCCGGTTCCGGTCTGATTTTTTTTTTAATCAACAGTCTGTGGGTGACAATTTCAGTTACGCTCCTGTGTTACCGGAAAAGAGCTTTGCTCAAGCACCGCGCTTCGCGCGATGCTGTAGAGCTTTGCTCTATATTAATTTATAGGGACGACAAAAAATTCAACTATCCCGTATGGCTTTAATTCTGGATAGGGCTGTTCAACAGCTTTACAATGACACCAAAATGAGTTTGATAGGCCCAATATTAATGGAGTTATGCCTAATTAATTGTCGCTAATTAACGCCCCTTTTGTCTGAAGAACAATGATGGTAAAATTCCACTAACTTTCTTAATTCTTACATGGTGGACATTTCGAAACCGGATCAAAAATTTTCTGCACTTCATATTTTGGCTCCGCAGTCCGCACCTACCGATTTCATTGAAAACTCGCAGAATTAAAGTTGAATATATATATTTTCAAATCAATATATTATTTACTCTATGCTATCCTGGTATCCGTCCCAAAAATTGTGTTGTTTTCTACTTTCATTTTGACATTTAGCCTTTTCCGCACTCGGAGCAGCTAGAGTGAAAATTCGAAAACAAGGCGAAAAGCTAGTCGTATATTTACAAAAATAACCACATTTGAAGCCGCAGTTTCGTACCAATGGACAATCCGCCGAGAAGAAAAGCCAATGCGCAAATCGCACAGGCGTATCGATCTGTGGCGTGACTCGCGACAACGAAATTAGGCCAGCGGTTTACTGCATAATCGGCGTACCTTTATTTACTATATTCAATTGTTTCCGTTTTTACTCTGATTTCAAATCAGTTATTTTTGGCGAAATACGCCAGAAGTCTCAAACGAATGGCAATCTCTAGCGTCTGGTTAGTCCAGTCTACACTGATAGTATTAATGTGCATTCTCTCCAGATAAGAATATGGCGTCACCTTTTCACATGACTTGTGGAATATGTCTAGCCAGGGTCCGTATTCAAAGGAAATTTTAAATTAGTCACTTAACTACTAGATTTCACTTACTGTGTGAACCATGGTAAATTATAAACGGATTTCTTCGATTGTGAACAAACTACTGAATAATTGTTATTAAAAACTTGCCTATGTGTTTGAAATCACCTCCGGTTGAATAAAATCCATTGCACAATTAAATATCCAAACCAAAACAAGAGTTCTCTCTTGAAAAGTCAATGTTTTTGCTTGTATTTTCGACAGTGTCCATCACAACATTACACATGTCACGTCATGAGCTAAACCATCATAATATGTTGAAGGGGGTAAAGGTTGAATCTCGTGTGTTCTAATCACAACAGCGCACGACCGTTTCGATTTTTTTAGTTTAGGCAACACAATAGCAACTGAGACAAAGACATTGATTTGGAAACAATTGATTGTCAGTCTACTAAATTTAATTCACAATGAATATATCACCAATTATACGAATACTCGTAAATATAATATTGTTTTTCACCCCTGTATATATAATTGTATATTGGATACATTGCCTTGTGAATTTCAAAACAAAGCCGGGAATTTACAAAATAATTGTGTTACCGATCACGTACAATTATAAATTTTTCTAAACAGTTTTTTGCACACCGGAAATAATATTCAGAGCTAAATAGAAAGAAACTGAACTATCTGTCGATAATTAATCCGGTGCACGGTATGATTAATTGTTGGTAATAAATTTTGGTATTTATATAAAAAAAAATAACGTTATAGGCCTATACCTATTCAATGATTCAATGGCCTCGGCTGAGGTTAATTGACAGGACTGCTTAAGTTCATCAGGAAATATTAAAAATATTCAAGGGTGAAATTAATTCAAGGTCAGTAAAACAAATATGGTTCAAAAGAAATAATCCCACCAAACTCTCTAACCAAATAATTATAATACAAGAGGGAAACAAAATACGGGACTACGGGCGTATTTATGTTTTTAAACGCCCAAACTCATTACTGGGTTTCCGAGAGGAATAGCTTATTCATACACAACCGTTACGACAGACAAGCCTTGCTTTGACCCCCCCCCCCCCCCTATACAAAATGATATATCCCGATAAGTGACGTAATTAGCTTCCATTTTGGTTATTTCTCGGTGTCAAAGTTTGTGATGAGTTCAATTTTACAAGAGAGAACTTTATTCGCTAGGACATATAGTTGTACAATGGATTTTATATAACCGGAGGTAATTTTAAACACACAGGTAAGTTTATAATAACCAAAGTATAGTAGTTTGTTCATAATCGAAGAAATCCGTTTATTATTTACCACGGTTCACACAGTAAATATACGTAACTTTCTGTGAGTTAAGGGTAAGTGTTATTCAGAGGCAATGTTAAGTATCAAATGTTCGCTTAAAGTTAAGCTGCCTTAACCACTTAACTTTAAAGGGCACATAAAATTGACGAGGACAATTTCAAGTACATGTAGCCAATGGTTACTATATCCACTTTACGGCAAGTTCACACCAATCTGATGGAAAGTAATTCAGCTTTCTTCACTCAAAGTTGCAAAAATAGACCTCCCGTAAAAACGACTTTGGCAATTATCAAAAACACTCTTTATCCCCTCAGACGCCTGTGACGTCACAGTGACCGAATGTATATTCGGAATGTTTATTCCTTAATTACCTATATATCAAAAACACTCTTAATCCCCTCAGATGCCTGTGACGTCACAGTGACCGAATGCATATTCGGAATGTTTATTCCTTAATTACCTTAAGGAATACTGTGTTTTAAAGTTAATTTTTGATAGAGTCCCTCTACCATCATGTGCAGTCCTAACCATTCGAGGTACATTTTCGTCAGAAGAGTATTGTGGTTGTAATTTCACGAGTAAAAGAGTACAGGAGTAAAAAGATGTGGTCATGCAAAATGTATCATAAAAGTCAAACATGATTGAAACGCGATTTGTAAATGATGATCCGTTATCAGAGTAGCCAACTGCATCTCGTTTTCCTGTAACCATCGTACGGCGCCTTTCTTTCTGCATGCGGATTTGACTTCATTAGGCCTACTCTGAAATAGACCGTGAAAATGAAATGCCAAAAAATATCTCAATATACTTTAGAATTAACAGTACAATTAAATTTTGTTGGTAATCATCTAAATGAAATAACAGATTGAGAAGGGTCACTATCTTTGTGTATTGATAATAATATGGCAAGTGTAGTGTCGTTAATATGTCATTAATTAATCAATCCGACTAAAGTTGCACAGAAATCGGGTTATAAATTAATTTACACCTGATGATTAAGTAATTGTCTTTTTTTTACACCGGCCAGATCAAAGACATCACTCTAGGTGGAACGTGTGCCTAATATCCCATGAACGAACTAATTGTGGAATCGTACACACATTAATTGTATAAAATGATCAGTCGTTTATAATTATTATTTACCCAAAAATCAATTAGCTTTGCTCACTGATGTTTTTGTAATAAAGTAGACTCGTATTATTTGTTGATTGGTGTTTAAACAACATTTAATTGACTTGATATGAAATCTGAATATAAATTATTCGATGGATAAACGTTTGTGATAAGATTAGGTTATATATTGTCTAACATCGTTTAACTTCTTTAGAATATAGGTATTTTACAATTACATTGACAGTTTAATCACTCAAGAATGGCATCAGGAACTCCACGTATGATCAAGTGTATTTGATATTCATGTCCGTGAATCCCATGCAATTTCCACGCCAAAGTTTAACCTCAGTTACTACACCCGTAGTATGCTTTGAACCGTACATGGTAATAAGATTCCCAGGGTTGATTGGCTGAGAAATGAGGGCGATCTATTGTTATGCATAGTCACCGGAAAATTCCATATTTGCTGTGAATTTCAAATGGAGTTGTTCTTCAAATGTTGTTCTTTTTGTATAGAAATGGTTATTATTATTATATATAGCTAATAATAAATATATTGACAAATGACTGGCACCAATTGTATTTCTGTACTTATTATAGAGACGAGTTTGGGATATCAAGTATTACGGGGTTATCCAAATTACCGGTAAATGCACGAATTGCTTGTGTCGTCTTCATTTGTCACGTGGCCTATTTAAACAAAGGACGCTTAAATGGATCTACGGCTTGACAGGGCATTTTAAATTCGCTCTAAAATATTCAAATCACAAATGTCTAATCTGTAACAATGTAAGACAATAATTCGGTGATTATGATTAGGCAGTCACGTGGTATTTGGACCGTCGCTAGACACTTGTCAACTGGTGGTGTGTATATACAGTGATATATTGTACAGCCAGTGATATATTGTATAGATAATGTATATACTATGTGTAGTGCTGTGACGTCACCAGCCAATCAACCAGATTAGCGTCGTAATTGAACAATTGAAAAGCGATTTGGCATGTCGGATACTTAAACGTTAACAGCCGAATTAATTTTAATCAGATTGGTGTGAACTTGACGTAAAGTGGATATACTAACCATTGGCTATACGTACATGAAATTTCGATTTTTGATCTTATGTGGTCTTTAAGTGACCTATGGGAGGTACCTTAAAGTTAAGCGTGTTTACATAATGGCGGCTTTAGGAGGTGTACGAAATTTATTATTTTGTCAAAATAACCGTAGAAGGCTGGAATATCCGCATATTGATGCACTTGAATTCTACAATGATGATGAATTCAAAAGAAGATGTACAGATTTAAGAAAGATAGTGTCCGTCTCTTGGCAAAATTGGTGAAAAATGATTTTGAGCCAAAGGAATATTATAATCATGCATTCAGTGTAGAGCCTTTGCATTGAGGTTTTATGCAACTGGGGCCTATCAATTTGTTGTTGGTGATGGGGAAAAGGCATCACAGTCTTCAGTAAGCAGAATGGTAAAAAAAAGTTACTGATGCGATTGTATTACGAGCCCCTGAATACATTGTAATTTCGTGTAATAATCGACTTCTACAAACAGTATCATATGGATTCTATGATTTTCATGGTGAGTAAAAACTGAGGTAATATAAATTATAAACATGAACTAGGGAAAGTACTTTATCTTTCGTTTTCCAAATTTTGGTGCCAGTTCCAGGTGGATAAAAAACGTTACCCTTTGAGCTAATTTATAAACTGAATAACATAATAACACTCACTAATGCTAAAAACTACTGATGGAATCAATTTAACTTATGCAATGTTTGTTTCAGGATTTCCAAATGTTGCTGGGGCAATTGATGGAACCCAAATTAGAATACAATCACCTGGTCAAAATGCTGAACAGTTCATCAACTGACACAGAGTTTCTGCAGTTAATGTTCAAGTTATCATTAATCATAGAGGGTGTTTTAGTAATGTTGTTGCTCGCTGGCCTGGTAGTGTCCACGATTCCTGTATTCTGCAGGAAAGTGACCTACAACCAATTCTTGCAGGTGGATCACTTGGGAAAAATATCTAGTGGCTATGGATGCAGTCGCTACTTGATGACCCCATATACTAACCTCTCTAATGAAATGCAAACTAACTACAACTCCATACATGCGAAAACAAGGATAATAGTAGAATGTTCAATTGGGGGTTGGGAGAGAAAATTTGGTTGCCTTAGCAAAAAATTACAAGTGAAGCCCACCCGTGCTTGTTCCATTATTAAAGCTTGTGCTGTTTTGTGGAATTTTGGATTTTTAACGGGTGATAACGCAGGGTATGCTACAAATGAAGATAATGAACCAGCTGACAATTAAAATGGTTTCATCCGTCTGTCTGTCTGTCCGTCACACTTTTTAAAGCAGAGATAAGCAATTTGATTGGTTGATGCTTTGGGACACGTTAACTTTAGTTCTAATTAAGTGAGAGTGAGGATACTTGATGTCTAGTTTTATCACATCAATACCTTGACTAAGTTCAATAATAAGCATTTTCTGCTTAGGGTAAGCGGAGCGATAAGCAATTTGATTGGTCGAGACTTTGGAACACAATAACTCTTTGGAGTCAGTTAACTTTGATTCTATCTGATAGAGAGTGATGAAACTTGGTGTATAGTTGATAATCGGTTTGATTGCTTGATACTTTTGAAAAAAATAAATGTGCGATTAATTAATATGTGTCATCTATTTATTTGGGGATTTTGATGGTTTCGATTGTGATGTCTCTCCAACAGCAGCAGTAGTAGTGGTTACAGTAGGCCCACAAGGAGATGTTTTGAGAGTGACTTCCAATTCTCCAAACTGTACTATCGGATCAATTGCAAAAGAACACAGATCATAAAATTAATTTTACATTGTAGCTCATGTAAGTTCAAATTTCCAATAAATTGAATTTTTCATGATCTTCGATTATTTGTGTAAATAGTATTGTAAATAAAACCACACCATAAGTCTTTGTAAATTTTTGCCCAAAGTAATTTACAGAATAATAAACTATTTTACCATGAGATGTACCATGTGTTGAAACTCTTGCTTCCATAAACTTTCTATATCTACTTGGCTACCCGATGAAAAAGAAATGGAATAAAATGAAATGGAGTTTAACTTTCTAGTTTTCTGCACTGCTTGGGCTAATGAAGACCGGCATGCGCTATGCAGTGTGCTATGAGGGAAAGTTTGCTGGGACAGCAGCGTTACTACCTGCGATACTGAATTCCAAATACCAAGGGTTCTTTTACATGCAAGCCAAAGTGGACACATGTGTACTAATAGTAAAATATTTATTTTGTCTTAAAGGCTCAATACCACTCTTGTTGTAACTGAATAATATGTCCCAATCTTTATTCTGGTCAACAAATTGTGCTATTTTACAATATTCCAATTAATTGATGATACAAATTTCATCTTAACACACCTAATTTAAAAAATTGGAAAAATTCAACTAAATGATTTGAAAAGCCTGACGTAAAGCTTTTTAAATGTGACTTGGATTTAAAAATATTTGTGAACCCTCTGGACAAGTAAAATAGGATTTAATGGATAATTTACACAACAGGTAGGACACTAACACATCTAGTACTTAGAATAAGGCTATTTTTTTATTTTCTGGAGCTGTCAAGCCAGCAAGAGTGTTATTGTCCCTTTAAATATTGGATATCAGAAGCCTGTCTTTTCCCGATAAGATCCCAACATAAATATTGATTTTAATTGACAAATAATTCGTGATTTCAATGTCGAAGTCTGGGCTATTTGAAGACAGGCACACACCATGCAGTGAGCTATGAGGGACGTTTTGCCTGGACAGTGGCGGTACGGCCTTCTCCTATTTCGAATTCCAACTGTCAAGCGTTCTTTTACGTTCACGTCAATGTGTAGCCTACACTTGACCAATTTTTTGTCCCATCCAAACAACTAAGGACTCTTTATTGCAATATTAAATCAGATGGGCTATATTAAAGCCCGGCTTTTCACAATAAGATCACAACATCAATGTTGATTTAAATTGACAAATAATTTATGATTTCAATGTCGAAGTCTGGGCTATTTGAAAACATGCACACACCATGCAGTGAGCTATGACGGACATTTTGCCTGGACATAGGCGGTACGGCCTTCTGCTATTTTGAATTCCAACTGTCATGGATTCTTTTATGTTCAGGCCAATGTGTACACTTGACCCATTTTTTGTCCCATCCAAACAACTAAGAACTCTTGATTGCAATATTAAATCAGATGGGCTTAATTCGAACTAGTCACTTCATCAGAGAAATCTTGGATGGCTAGCTGCCACGCCTAGATTTCTAGTTTTATATATTAAAGCTAAGTAAAAAAACCTACAATTCTGTCTGCGAACAAGTTACTTGTATGCCAATGTAAACTGGGGGGGTTGGATGACTGAATGGTTATATATCATAAGGTCTGTCACTGAGTCAACTGGTGTGGTTTCAATTCCTCAGTTGTACTTGACAAGGAGTAGGGTCGCCTGTCCAACCTCGTGGGTTTTTTCCGGGTTCTCCGGTTTCCTCCCACTGCTCAAGACCACTATGTGCAAGCGAATTATTGAAATAAAATTGAACCATATGTTAGTCCTGAAATGACCTAGTTTGTGTCCAGTAGATGTTAAACCCCATCTCTCTCTCTCTCCCTCTCTCTCTCTCTCTCTCTCTGAATAAAACCTACAAGATATTTTTTTCAGTCAAATACAACAGACAGCAATAAACGGAACTGAGTAAAGAAATTAGAATGATTAATAGATATTTTAAGCGATTAAGTCATGGATTTTACAAGTATCCTTCCTGAAGAAGTAACTGAACAGATTTTGTCTTATTTATCACCAACAGATTTAGCATCTGTCAGTGAAACATGCTGTAAATGGAGAGAAATAACTAATGTTAATACATTATGGTAAGTTGACAATGGTTAGCTAAAGTTGAATTCTTACTTTTTTGTCATTTTATGAATATTTATAGTCAAAGTTTTGATTGAATCCAAGTCAGGATATTATCTACTGTTGATATTTTGATTCTGTTTTCTTAACTAAATGTTAAATAAATAATTGATTTGAGTAGATTTTATTTTAGTTCTGAATGAGCTGTGAAAGATTAGATATTGCAAATGACAATCAGCAGCTTTAATAATTAAGACCTTGTTTGAAGAATTGAACCTTTTTTTTACCCTTTCAATTTTATAGTCATTGCTCAAATTGTTTATATTCAGGCTTCATCATTGTTTGGTCAGAGGCTGGTTAAAGTTTGGTCTAGCGTGTGATCTGATACACGAAGAACCATTATATCCAAAAGCTACTAATGTGTCTGGAACCTCACCAGTATTTGTACTAGAAGGTAAAAATTCAATTTTATAATCCCATACATAATTCTTATGTACCAGTAATATTTGCCATTGTTGTACATTTTAGTTCTAAAAGTAAAAAATATGGATGAGGTTTTTACCATTGGAAAACATTGTGACACATCTAGTAAGGAATTGTTCCTTTTAATCAATTTTGTAGAATTTGTCCATTGTGTTTTGTACAGATCAAACTGATTTTGTGACAATATTTCAGTTCCAAGAAAGACTTCATTAACTCCTATATGTAAGTGGAAAAATATTTTCATTCGTGTAAAACATTTAAACCGAAATTGGGCCAGAGGTTGTTATACTGTTGCACCAATTTTAAGAGGTCACAAAGAAAAGGTCACAGCACTAGAGAGTAATGGTAAGTATTGACTAAACGTGCACTATATATTAAATTATTATAGCTTATTGAAAATACTAGTAAAACTAACATGATCTATTCTTTCTTACTCAGAAAATAAATTATATGAATTGCTGAATTAAAAGTTTTGGTTTAAACAGCATAATTAAAGCCTATTGAAAAAGCCTGACCCCATCAAAGAAGAAATAAATTTCCGTAAAGTAAAAGATATCGACACAGGAGGCTCATAATATTGAAACAAAAGTGCTTCTCTATAACTCAATTCTTAGTGATGTGTTAAATCATCATGCCCCCTTGAAATCCAAAACACTAACTATTCGACCTAACAAAAAGTGGTTGACTCAATGACAGACCTTATGATGCAACCATTCGGCCATCCAAACCCCTGTAAAATGCTAGTAAATTCTCTCATAACCTCACGTTTAGATTATTGTAACTCTCTATTAGTTGCTCTTCCTGCTACAACACTGTACCCCTTAAAACTTCTACAAAATAAAGTAGCAAGAATTGTGTCATTAACCCCATCACGCTACCATATTACCCAAGTTTTAAAGCAGCTTCACTGGCTGCCTATTCCCTATAGAATTGATTTTAAAGTTCTCTTTCTCACTTATTTATCATTACATTGGCCAGGATCACCAGTCTATCTCCATAATATTTTATCAAAGTACGAACCCTCACGTCAATTACGTTCAGTAAACCAACACCTACATAACATTCCAAAATCGAAATCTCTTTTTAGTGAAAGTTCTTTCTTAGTGGCAGCTCCTAAACATTGGAATGATATGTCCATCACCACAAAAACTAGCCCAACTTTCAGTATTTTTGAAAAGAATCTTAAAACAGAGTTATTTATTAAAGCTTTTAATTGATTATAAGTTTACTTAGCTCTTAACATGTTTTAGCCTTTTAAAGAATATATCTGATATACTTTTACATGTTTTCAATATTTTTATGGTTTCTTTATAAGTTTACAGATATACTTTTACATGTCTTTTATATGTTGTGGTTTCTTTATAAGATTACTGATCTACTTTTACTTTTCTTTATATGTTATGGTATCCTATAAGTTTATTAATACAAATGTATACTTTTACATGTCTATTATATGTTATGGTTTTCTTTATTATACCTTAATTTTTTATTTTCTAAAGAATCTGTTGCTTTTTCGAATTGAATCATTGTAAAAGCGCCATAGAGCAGCTGTTTCCCGCTGGATTTTTGCGCTATATAAGTTTAATAAATTATTATTATTATTATAAAATGCCATTTTTAATAGGTCAAATTATAGTTAGTGGAAGTGATGATAAATCACTGAAGATCTGGAATATACAAACTTGTAAATGTCTTCATAGTATAGAAGCCCACTCAGATACAATTACATCTATTAAGTTAAAGGTACATAAGAATTATCTGCTTAGAAAATAAGGAATTATAAATTTTGCTTACAGAATGGTCATATTGTTGTTATAATGGTTTCAGTAGTAATTTATATAATATAATTTAAATGAATCATTAGAAATTCACAGCTTCAAATCAACCTATTTCTCCATAAAAAGAATTTGTGCTCAATAATTTTATGTTATGCCTGCTTCATAAACTTAATCAAATTTTGAGACTTCCATATACTAGATCTACGGATAAACAGTTATTAACGTCTGTTCTATTGCAGGATCGTTTAATTGTAACAGCATGTGCAGATGGAAGTATTCGATTATATGATGCCACAACTGGAAGAGAATGTTTATCATTTATAGGACATGCAGGCAGTGTAGATCATATCACCTTGGTAAACCAATACATCATTAGTGCTGGAACCGATAAGTTTGTACTTCTTGTTTTTATGATAGTTCAAAAATATAAAATATTTCTGATTATGATAGTTCTTAAAAAATATATAATATATCTCGTTGGGGAGTATTCTTTTTGTGAATACAAGTTCTTAATAAGTGCGATATTGTAGTTATCTCCCCTTATTGGACATCAACATGAATCTGTTTATAAAGTCAAGAAGCTGCTAACTATGTACAGTGGCTTGTAATTTGGTCAAGCTTTGGCAAGGAACCACTGTCCTCGACATGAAGTAGGCCTAATGCAATAGAATCTATGTTTGATTGGCTATGAATCATTAATTGATCGTTGAAAGTTAAGAGGAAATCAAATCCCACGGTCAATTGTAGGTAAAGATACATTGATCTTTATTATATGTTGGAAAATCACTACAATATTTAATGTATTTATTTACAAAATGTACCAGTTACTTGGCTCATGATAAATATGGTCACAGAACTCTTTGAAAACAAAGAAATAATAATAATATTGGTAAACAAGAATAGACCAGAGGTTCAGTGCGTGGGGGTGTGCATCAAATGGGCACAAAACCAGACCAACTTTTCTATAGTAAAATTTGGACCCAGCATGATAATTAACCTGGTAGCGAAAGAGTCGAGGCCTGTCCATACCAATGATTATTAGCCCAATGGAGAAAGAGACTAATCTAATACCCTCACCATCTGTCCGTTAACGTTTTACTTTTTCGACTTTTTAAAATTTGCTAAGTACTTGTATGTTTGGGCGGTGCTTTGGTCATCAGTATACCTGGAAATCATTTCATTTATACAAAACATTCCAATATTTATATAGATATATATTTGTTTTTATAAAAAATAAATCCAAGGCCTTTAATTTTATCTCAAAGGTCTGGTATATATGTACTGGATGTAGGCATGTTATCCCACACTGATCAGCAGTGAATATTTGCTAGGCCACTACAAGCACTGAGAGGGATGACATCGGTGCTACTTAATGAGCTTGCGATATTAACTTTTTTCAATCTGCAAATTAAATTCTCAAAAAAGTATTAGAAAATAAATGAAGGTGTTTGAAGTATATCTAGATAAAATATATTTACTATTTAGTTTAAATGGGTATATAAAATGAGTAAAAGGCACTATTCTGCTTAGAGTCGGACCAGTAAACACAACCATGTCTTATGTAAACAATGCGCGTGCCATAGAGCCAATGATGGAAGCCCTGTGATGTGACGTCACCTGTAGAAACCATACTTGAACTTATAAAGGTCAGTCATCTAATGCAGAGCTATAAGTATGTGACAAGGGTTGACTGTCCAACCTCGTGGGTTTTCTCTGGGTCCTCCAGTTTCCTCCCACTGCTAAAGAGCCCTATGCGCAAGCGAATTGAAATAAAATTAAACCATATGTTAGTCCCAAAATGACCAAGTTTGTGTCAAGTGGACATTAAACCCCACTTTTCTCTCTCTCCCTCTCCATTGAAATTCCAAGCATGAAACCACAAATTGTTTATTTCGAATCTTGTAATTGGTACACTTTGTAAATTAATAGGCCTATATCTATTGTGGTGATTTGTCAACATACCACAAAGAAAAATAATAATGTTAGGCTACCTAACCCAACTAGGTTGACAAAGCAGATTTAATAGATCTATTTCCAAGATTACAATATTCGGTCCTATAACTCACAAGTTGTAAAAGCCACTCTAGTTGGGTTTCAGAAAGATCTCTACTGCTGTCAAATGGTTATCGCATGCGCGTTGTATCATAAGGTCTGTCATTGTGTCAACTGGCGTGGTTTCAATTACCCGATTGTATATGACAAGGAGTAGGGTCGCCTGTCCAACCTCATGGGTTTTCTCCAGGTCCTCAGGTTTCCTCCCACTGCTAACGACCCCTACGCGCAAGTGCATTATTGAAATAAACTTAAACCCAGTTTATGTCGAGTGGACGTTAATCTATCTCTCTACGCTATTTTTCCAGCATGCAAAATGACCGATGTGTCTGATCTAGTTTCAGTCATCTTCCATAGCCCTCGTTCTTGACCGGCATATACGACTGACATGAAACCCATGCCATAGACCATATTCAAAATCAGACATTATTTGAAAAGATTACAGATTTGAAATAATTGTAAACAAAAGGGGAGGATATTGTATCAAATATCTATGTAAAATTATTGTTTCCAGTAATTATTAATGACAGTTAAAAAAAATGGTTGTGATTTTACTGATATTAAACCTCCTGCAAAGAAGTTAAAAAATTAACATTAGATAGTCCTTATCAGACAAGATTCCGCCAAAACCTGGATTATGTGTTGGACTGTATTGTCACTTTTAATATTGCAGAACTGTTAGGGTGTGGTCCATTCTGGACAGAAATTTAAAATGCACTATGTATGGTCACTCAGATGATATTGAGGTATAATTTTTGTAATATTGAGATAAATTTTTAAATAGCATAAAAATCTTTCACAGAATTTTGTGCACACCTCAAGTAAAGTTTGACCAAATATACCAGTTTATTAGATAATCACTAACCTCAACCAGAACATGTTTTATCAATCTGTTAATTAGTCTACATGCATATATATATATCAGAATATAAAAGTGCTGACAGACAATAGGTAGATAATGTCACACTAGATGTAATTTATTTTAAAATCTATAAATTGATATTTTTTAGTGTTTGTCTAGTAATGATAATCTGGTATTGTCTGGTTCCTGGGATAATACATTAATATCATGGGATATACATAATGGAACAATGATACGTCGCTTTGATGGGCATAAGGAAGGTAATGTGTGATTTGTAACCTTTCTGATTTTTGAGAAAAAAAACTCACACAAGTGACAGGTATCATGAATAAAGAAAAATAACCCTTCTCTTTGTACAGCAATCGATTTTACATCTGATTACCAAGCTAACATGGAATACAAACTTAACAATCAAACCATTTATAAGGGTAATGCTAGGAATAATTTTCCTGGCTGTATGTTACAGTTGTTACTTGTTTAATCATTGATGTAATATTATGTTAATGTTACAGTTATAAATAGTTGTAAATTTGATGTTACATGTTATTGTCAGTTTGATGTAATATTATATTATTTGTTTTCATTTTGATGTTATATTATGATACAGTTGTTACTTGTTGCGGGGGGTGGGGGGAGAATGGCCAAATGATTAACACATGCACGCTGTATCATAAGATCTGTCATTGAGTCAACTGGCGTGATTTCGATTCCCCGGTTGTACGTGACAAAAGTAGTTTCGCCTGTCCAACCTCGGTGTTCTCCGGGTCCTCTGGTTTCCTTCCACTGCTAAAGACCCCTACGCGCAAGCAAATTATTGAAATAAAATTGAACCATTTATTAGTCAGGAAATGACCTAGTTTGTGTTGAGTGGACGTTAAATCCCATTTCTCTCTCTCTGTTACTTGTCAGTTTGATGTAATATTATGTTCTGTTACAGTTGATACTTGTTGTCAATTTGATTTGATGTAATATTATAATATTTGTTGTCTGTTTGATGTAAACGTTACTTGTTGTCAGTTTGATGTACTATTATATTATTTGTTTTCAGTGTGATATAATATTATGTCAGTTTGATGTAATATTATATTACTTGTTATCAGTGTGATGTAATATTATGTTACTTGTTGTCAGTTTGATGTAATATTATATTATTTGTTGTTAATGATGTAATAGTCATTATATTTGTTACTCATTGTCAGTTTGATGTAATACGTTATTTGTTGTCAGTTTAATGTAATGTTATATAATGTTACAGTTGTTACTTGTTGCCAGTTTGATAAGAATAAAGTTATTAGTGGTAGTGCTGATAGTGATGTAAGAATATGGCAGACAAGAACTGGTATTTGTGTTCATGTATTATCTGGTCATACAGGAGAAATAGTAAGTTTTTGATATGTTATAAATAAGAAATAAGAAGTTTGATTTTTTTAGAATTATTTGACAAAATGCTCTAAAATATAGTTTTCGTGGTTCCCTTATTCAGATATTACACAGAATATGTTCCAACCAAAAGGTATTCCAATAATATGATGGTTATATTCAAAATGGTGGCCACATTCGGCAGTACATTTCGATGTTAGTGATGTGATGGTGTAATAGGTTAACTGTAGGTTTACAGGGTCATGGAAATCATATCTGAACGGCTAAATGTGTTATGATCGAACAAAACGCCAATAGAGTTATCAAAATCGCCATAATATCTAAGATTAGGAGACCATGGAAGAAAATGGTAATTCAGAATTCTTATAGAAACCACCTTCAAATAAAGGTCCAAGAGAATTTGTCATGGATTTTACCCAAATAAATAACCAGAAAATGCTTCATGTCAACCATTTTGGATATTTAAATTTCCCCAAGGGTGCCAGAGTGGCATCATCCAGATTCTGAATCTACACATATTAAAGATATATAATCCATCAAAAAACATTAAGTGGACTACATTTCCATGTCTTGAACTGGGGTTTGACTGCCGAACTAAAGACAGAAATAGACAATAATGTATGTGCAATAAAGCAAAGGCAGAAATCAACAATAATGTATGCACTATTCATTGAATATTGATAGTAATTGTGACAATGAAAGATTATAGGTCAAGCTCAAGACAAAATACTTTTAAAACTATTAGAAATAAAGATTTCAAGCATTATGTCTGGTTAATCTAAATGACCAGTGTACCAATAATTAGATTGTCCAGTAATAACTAATAGTGTTGCTTTAGTAACTAAAGTGGTCCATTAATAATTAGATGGTAATGACAATAAATAGCTCTCCATAATTGAAAGTTGGCACCAAAATTCACAAGTGTCATAGGACAATTACCAAGTAGCTGAATATGGTTGCTAGAACAAAGGAACATATTTTTTATATTTCAAATCAGAATTGTTGGAATATCATAGTTATGTTTCCATTAGATTTGTGTATGTTTCTGTATATCAGTTCTATTGTTTACAATTTACAATAATGGGAGTTTATTTTGTGTATATCATTATTATATTACACACATGAGTGTATTTGTATATTTGATAAAATTATGTTCTATACTGATTCTATATTCCTGTCTTGTGTTGTAAACAGTAATGTAATAATATATTTTGTGTAGTCAGTATATCGGTATTTAATTAGTAATGTGTTGTATTACTTGTAATGTGATGAGAGTTTATTTTGTATATTTCAGTATGGTGATGTAATGAGAATTTATTTTGTATTTTCAGTATCTAATATGATGAGAGTGTGTTTTGTATATTTCAGTATTGTGTTTTGATTATGGATAATGAGAGAGTGTTTTGTATATTTCAGTATTTGGGATCATGAGAGTTTATTTTGTATATTTCAGTATCATGTTTTAATGTGTTGAGGGTTTATTTTGTATATTTCAGTATCATGTTGTAATGTGATAATAAGAGTTTATTTTGTATATTTCAGTATCATGTTGTAATGTGATAATAAGAGTTTATTTTGTATATTTCAGTATTGTGTTATAATATGATGAGAGTTTATTTTGTATATTACAGTATTGTGTTATAATATAATGAGAGTTTTATTTTCTATATTTCAGTATTGTGTTGTATATAATGAGAGTGTAATAGCATCTGGTTCGTCCGATAGTACTATCAGAGTATGGTACCATACAGGTAACTTTACTATAATAATAATATCCATTAACCTTTCAACAAGAGGGGGGGGGGGATGATTTGAACATTGAAGTACTGGTACAACAATATTCAAACAGTTCTTACACTGTGATATCCAGGCTTCCTAAACCAAATATTATAATATTTCAATTAAATATCTACACTTAATATCTTTGATAAGTCTAAATCTTCATCTAGGTTCTCTAGAAACAAATTAAACCATGTTTTTCATTTATTAATTGACTAATTGGTGACACATCTATTAAAGTAAAAAGACTTTCCCCCTAATACTTTAAAGAGATAGAACGTTTGACAGGCTTATTAGAAGCTTTTATCAATAATTTTATTCTATAATGAAATAAAGTGAACAGCAGGCTGCCTTTAATGGGATTGATGAAGTTTGACAAAGAATGGATGAGTTTGTCTGAAGATGACAGATAAGAAGAACTGGAAATAATTTCTTCAGACATTCAATATATTGATTTGTCTGGATTGTCCAGTAGGATTAGGCTTATATTGATCACTAAGATGCAGAATTACTAACATTATTGCTTCCACTAACTGAATATGAGATCATCCATGCATGATTATTTTGTCCACATTAGCGAAAAGATAGTTTGAAATGACATAATGAGAATTCTATATGATTAATTATTAGATTTAGTGCTGGATAGTAAATTGTAATTCCATGAAAAAGTTATAATTACAGATAAGTTGAACATTAAAGAAGTTTTAAAATTTCTACATTAATCTGATTTCCAGTGTAATATGCTTGAATCCATCATAGTTTTTATTTACCAATGTAATGTGATTAGGTGCTTAAATTCATCCTTTATTTTGGGGGGTTTTCTTTCAAATTTAGACATAATAGTTTTACTGACAAGCCCACATGACGGTGACTAGTGAGGAATTTAAATAAATTGTAATGTTTATAGAAGAAAAAGGAAAGTAAAAAAGATTTAGAGGTTTATTTTTTTTTTTTAGAATTGGGTCTTAATCCTGGACTGCATATGGTGTGAATACTATTTTAATATCAGACATACATGTACATATATATCCATACTAGGGATGTATCTTCTAATTGTATTTGTCTGTAACCATTTGACTTTAGTTCTCCATCTTGAACAGCCCCAACATTTCTACTGAAGAGATCAAATGAAACAAAAAGGTTTAAATGAGTTCAGTTCAACACACACACTGCACTTGATAATCAGATCAAATTTTAACTTGGTCCTCATCAACAGCATGTCCGTTTCATGTAATTAATGATGTCACATTCATCTTGATGTTCCCTGTCCCAGGCTACTTGTACAGCCACTCATCCAAATCACTTTCGTTTGTTGTTGGAACCCATCTCATTCTTCTACTGTCTTCACTATTGTGAGACTTTCAAATTTGCGGGTCACTACCCCTTTCATTATCATTAGTATTCTGATGTGCAGTCATTGGAAGTGGGTTCAGAGGTGACCATTTTCAATTTTACTTCACTGAGTTTCATGAAACTGTAATTTTCTGATATCAAATTATGATGTTTTCACTCAATAGGACAATTCTGAAGTTGTCATTTGAGAATGATCGTTGTCGTGCCACTGCAAGTAGAATTTATTCATGGATTGAACTTCTTTGTATTGGGCAATTATAATGAGATGAAAAAAAATGAAAAATTGTATGCAGGTCATATAGAGCAGGACATCTATTTATAATGATTTCTTTTAGAATGATAGTGACTAATATAATTAATTATGGATAAATATTGAAATAGAATTCAATAAAATCTACATGTTTGATATAGATTAGAGAAATCTGTAGATTTATATTTGAACAGCTTATTGTATAAATTTTATGGAACATTTTCGAAAAAAAAAAAAAATGCCATCATGCCGTGGTATACATTTCGCATTGCAAGTACCGTAGTACCCTTTTGGCGCGGTAAGTACCGCAGTATTGTATCTGTACTATGATTTATCCTGGAAGTTTAGAATATGCATTTTAAATTTGTTATAAAAAGTCAAAATGTTACTTATATATAACAATTTTAATTAGGCTGCAAAGTTGTAAGTAAAACGTTTATTCAAAAGAATATTGGACACTTCCTCCTCACGCATGGCATGATGACCAATCAACGCGGCATGTACATGTAAATAAAATTATAATTCTGCTGATGCCTGGTCGTGCAACCAGCATGGAGGGATTATATCGCTTAAAATAAAACTCAAGTTGTAGAGTGCGTCTTGATTATTATTGCAATATTTACATACCGCATTGTCAAACCCACGTCATGATTTTTTTAAATTTAGTAATTATATACTTTAAAAAAAAAATAATATAAAAGCTTCCCCAGGATATTCTAAAGTATAACCGGGTACGATTTGAAGCCCCGCAAAGCAAATCTTTTGTCAGGACATTTTGCAATTTAATGCCCTGGATGTTAAACCTCATTTATGTCATTTGGAAATTTTCAAGCACACAAAAAAATCATACCATGACCCTGTATACCTCGATTGCTTTATGTATCGATGGCGTGTTCCGTGTACTCTGCTCTTAAATTTGCATGATCTTAACCTGTTATGGTAGAGTCCGTCTCAATTATTTTCAAACAATCTCCAGAATGTTCTAATGGTGATAATGAGAGATGCATGTTCTCTTAAATCTGTCCATGTCACAGATATAGGAATAGAAGGCAATGATTTACTAACAAGAAACAGGACCAGAGATAAGAAAAGGTTATCGCGAGCTAGAATTGTTGCCGAGTAGATGACTTCAGAGAAAAAAATTAATCCCTTTCTAATTGTTTTGAAAGGTTTTCTATACATTTTTAATGAGGATAAAGATACACGTATATCCACATTCCTTTTGGGTGAACACTAATTAACATAGCTCCTTATACTTATGACAGAAACTTGCGAGTATTCAGTCATTTAAAGGATTTCTTTAAAGTGGCATTTATTTGCTAAAATTACTGGGATTTTGTTTTAGCTTTAAATGACGCATGCTCTATACTTAGTAACTGAGTGAGATTTACATGTACGTTGGACACAATTTTATTACGTTTCCACAAGGGTCCCCAGGCACTCCAAGCGTCTATAAGGTCGAAACTTCGCTCAGTACACAGTAAATATATTTCATAGAATTTTGTCATTCGATACCCATAGGTTTTGTATGATTTTGTTCATCCACACGGTACTTCATTATTCCTAAAATATTTGAACAAATTCAAAATGTATTGTAAAATTGTAAACTTGACAATGTTAACGTGTATGTATTTATAAATGTTTTAACAGGAGAAATAAAATCAGTATTAAGACAACATCTAGGAGTAGTAAGATGTTTGTATATTAATAGTGATAGACTGGTTAGCGGTGGAGATCAAAAGAAAATAGTCGTATGGGATTATAAGGTATGTTTTTGCCAGTAGCATTCTTAAACCCCAAGGTCTGTCATTGATGCAAGTGGCTTTGTTTCAATCCATGTTCAATCTCGTTGCTTTTCCCAGGTTTTCTTCCACAAAGAAGGACCCCTACTCGTAATCGAATTATTGCTAGTCCCGAAATGCACGTTGTTTGTGTTGAGCGGAAATTCCCTACCCTCGCCCTTTTTTGTCTCTGACTTATTTTTCATTTTTATGTTCACATATATGAAATCTTGTGAAGTGACCGAGGACAGGGCTCTCATTGAAATTTGTTCAAACTTGGCGAAGTTGTTCATTGGGATAAGGAAGGGTTTTTACAAATTGGCAGGGTTGTTGATTGTAGTGTAAGAAGAAATCCTATTAAAATAAGAACACATCATCGTAAATCACACAGTTATCGGCCCCTTAAGTGTCGAATGCGTTGTGCAGTTATCTTTCTGTTCACAGTTTTATTTGTAAGTCTTGTGAACCCTATACAGGATAGAGTTCTCTATGAAATTTTGTAAAACTTGGATGGATTCTTTAAACCAGCTCATAGTAGTAGTTGCAGGAGAGAGAGAGAGAGAGAAATGGGGTTTAACGTCCACTCGACACAAACTAGGTCATTTCGGGACTAACATATGGTTTAATTTTATTTCTATAATTCGCTTCCGCGTAGGGGTCTTTAGCAGTGGGAGGAAACCGGATAGTAGTTGCAGGAACTCTGCGATGAATATATGCATGACTGGTATGACTCCTCCAAAACTCTTGACCGTTAGAGCGTGTTAAGGTTTCCGTGACAAGGGCAGTAACTTGTGCAATTCAGAATAAGCCGAACGATACCTGCAAGTTCGAAGAGAATCACAAAAACTTATATCAAAAATATTTTCCCATTGTGCAGTTGGCAAGGTAATTGTGTGGTGTTTTCTACATTCCATATTAATAAATATCAATAACAATATAACCAGAACTCGACCATTGGCACGTCAGTGTAAGTTGTTCGTGGAAAATCTGCCAGAATTGGGTGTTTATAAATATTTATAATGGGTTATGGTACTCGAGTATTTGTGTGATATATTTCTTTGTTTTTGTAGAAAGGGGAGCTGTTGAATGTTGTTCATCGTCATCCTACTCTTTTACATCTGATGCATGTTAGTGATACAAAACTTATAACAGCATCTCCTGAAAGACCTGGAACTATAACTATACTTAGTTATTGGTAACAGACTATGAAACTATGACCAGTAACCTTAATGATGTGTAGAAATATAGCAATGTACACGACATAGATATCATCCGTATGATTCTGGACATTGAGCCTCCCTCCTATGTGCGTATTGATAAAATACATTTTATTTAAGACTCTTATGTCCGTCAAACCTCAAGAGGTCTTAATATTGTTGTGATATTTATGTAGCATTTTGCGAAAAGATGCGGCTGCGATACTCTTCCATTAAAGCACTGTGACTGCACTTTCAAGTACCACACAAAGTCTATTCTTTATTTTATATCATCCATCAATGATAGGAATATTTTTTTTCAACAGCTTGTATATATAATACAATAGCTAGCTAGGTCTTATTGCATTTAATTTGCCGACTCAATATATTCCAAACACTAGGGATTGCGTGGGGTACCAGTATTGTTAACTGGTGTACTTAATGTTACACTGGTTTTCGTTACGACACTAGACCAACAGATGACACAGAATGTCCCGTGTTAGGACGACAGTGTAAGTGAATATCTCTTTACATTTGAAATGTAAAAGAAGAGTAGAGGTAACGTGTAAATGTCTCGTCATCAACATCATGAGCTGGATAGATGGGGGTTGTGTTTAAAATATATATCAACATCAAATGTTCACATATAAATATATATCTTGCCATCTTCAGTTCCAAACTATTTCCGAATTGAACACATCAAGAAATTACCGTAACCCTTAGCAAATTTCTCGTCCCTAGCATCCATTAATGAGCTGGATAGATGGAGTTATGTTAACGATATGAGTGGACAGTCAGCTTATATGATTTAATGTATGTCAGATTGAGGTAAAGTGGAGAATGTTTTATCTGGACGTATGTTTACGGTTTATAATTGCATAAATAAATAAAAAATACTTCCAGGTAAAAAATTCTTCACTTATTCTGACATACATTAAATCATATAAGCTAGCTCCGTCTTCATTAGCCCAATATAGGAGCAGAACAGTAGGACGTTAAACCCCATTTCATTTCATTTCATTTCTCTGCCTTCTATAGGCGTCTTCAGATATAAATAATGTATACAAAATATTGAAAATACCATACATATATACTCTTCAAAAAAAAGTAGGGGACATTCAGAAACAATACAAAACTGCGGAAATGCACTGCTGTTTTTATTAGAGGTAATCAGTGTATGTTAATCACAGGCCAGTTACCTACACATGAACATAAACAGTTCATATGGGCGACTTATCTGACGCCCCCATTTCACTTGCAAAGAGATACACCGTCAAAAGTGAAAATGGACGTTTTTGATTTTTGTCTTAATAATGAGTAATTGCTCCACCAATCCTCAGACATTCAGCAATTCGTCGTGGTATGCTCCTAATCAACCGTCCAATCACGATTTGGGGCAATCTGAACCACTCCTCTTGCAGTGCCACGGCCAATTCTTGCAGTGTTTTCCGTTGAAGTTGACGAACACGTCTCCCGATCAAATTAAACGTAACACACTAAAGCAAAGATACGCAGAACAGTAAATCTTATGCAGGAACCGATAGGAAAGCAAGCATGGATAGATAAACCAGCACGCGGCAGTTTTCATCAACTCTTACTTGAAGTGTCAAATTTGACAATTGAATGAACCCCTCCCACGTGTATGGCGATGTTGCGTGTCGCATGTGCAGCTCAGTGATTCTGTTGGGGCGATAAGTTCTTCATCTGTGAACATACTCTCAAAGCATGTCAAATGTCCATGACTATTTATCACATCGCAACCTGCATAGGTATTTGCATTTCAATATCCTCTACTTTTTTTGAAGGGTATATATATATACATTCTTAGAATAATAGATTTCCGTGACAATGGATTATAAATAATATTAGGTAACGTACAACAATTAATTTACCAGTCCTTCTGGTATAGTTTGACAATAGCCAATGCAGGAATGCATCCAATGTGCACATATCAATATATATCTTCATGTCTTCTGTTCCAAATTGTTTCCTAATTCAACACATCAAGAAATTGGTACATTTAAATACTGAGGACCCCAGTTCCTTGAAGAAAATTAGAGAACGGTGATATAGTTCATACCGGTAGATCACTGGACAGTCCGAAACCTCCCGAAACTACAGCTATTCACGTGGCTCGGGTAGGTTTGTGCTGGTCCAAGTTGCCTTAGTTAGGCGCGGTTTTGGGTGGTACAAGTGCCATAGGTTTAGTGTAAAAAGATTAGAATCCTCCGAATTCGGACGAAGATTTATACATGTATATATTTATACATTCGTATTAGGTTTGAAATTGTAACTGTTTTATAAAGTATTGAACTAAGCCGATCCCCAACATTTAAATCAGATTATTCGTCTTCCCAATTTCACATTTAATTTAAGAAGACTGAAATACCAAAGAAAACTAGAAAATAAGTATTACTGTAAATGGTATGTTCTCTATATAAAATAAGTATTACTATAAATGTTATGTTTTCTATGGAGAATATATACTATTGTAAGTGTTAACTTTTCTTTTCTATATAAAATAAGTATTACTATAAATATTATGCTTTCTGTACAAAAGAAGTATTACTATAAATGTTATGTTTTTTGTACAAAAGAAGTATTACTTATAAATGTTATGTTTTCTATGCAGTATAACAATCACTATAAATATTATGTTTTCTATATAAAATAAATATATGTTTCTATATAAAACAAGTATACTATTCAAGTTTATGATTCATATAGATATTGTTTTATTTGAGTTTCTAATTTAAAGAAAACTTTATTTTAATAATTGATTTTTTTAAAATGCTAATAAATGATTTATTTTACGGTTTCAATATTTGTGTTACAAATGGATTAGTTCATATAATTTTCACCAGTATCGGCATCGCGTACCTTCATCATAATCAGCATTAATACCGTTATATAAGAAACAGGACGATGATGACTACGACAATGACAACTCAGTAAAAAAAATCAATACTTGAAGCTAATTGATACTACGAGTAAATGGAAATCGGATAGGTTAGCGTGTATGCTTTTATTACATCAATTGAAGAATTCGAAAGTTAGAATTTTATTGCATCGAAACTTCATTTGAGAACAGCATGTGATATACAACAGTATAAAATAAAAGTACATATCCCAAAAGATAGCTTTGTATGGGTTTTAAATTGACATTTTACTGAACTGACATAGATTTTTAAGACCCCATACCTATGCCATGACCTATACAAGATGCACTCGTGAAATAAAAACTGAAATCGTTGTATTTTTTATTATGAAATGTCTTCCCGACCACACATCTGTTCAGAAAGTTTGATGTAATTTGATTGTGGATGGTGTATTTTCTTAGTAAACACATTTCTATGTTCAACCCCGAATTAACGTAGACCCGTAGACACAACGAAAAACAACCATTATTTACACATTTGGATTTGATAAAGATAAACATAAATAGATGACGTAAAGAGCAAGTTTATCTTAATCTGCTAAGTGGTTGGAATTGTAAAATTGTCCTATCAGACGTAGAGATTTCCCGCCACAAAAATGTCAGAAATGATTAGAATGTTGGAACTATGAAATCACAGTGCACGTGCTGAACAAAAATCCTAATTTGTCACTAAAGTTTAACTTTGAACTACTGTGCATGTATACTTTCAATTTGATTTAATTTGTCACCAAAGTTTTATTTCATTAACTTGACTTCTGTGCATGTATATTTTTAATTTAATTTAGTTACATGTTTGCAATATTTTGTTGTATAACCATTTCCTAGGAGTGAGTAAGACGCTTGACCGAGAAAGTTCTTCGGATTTTTCACCAATCAGTGGTAGTGCAAGGAACAGTGTCAAGTCGTTCGGATGACACCCCCGCCAAATCATGTAATCGAGAAGAACCTTTGGGATTTTTCAAGCCGGACTCGAGTTTGTCGAGGGTGGTGCTTATAGGGCTGACCAGATATGCGTTGCTCGCTCCTTTGGATGGAAAGCGAGGCCACCTATGAAGGCTACACATTAGAGTACATGTAAAATAACGCATGACAGTTAGAATTCGATGACGAGTAGTACCCTAAGTAGAAGGAAACGTCGCTGTTCGGTTTTATTGTTCTTCCTTGAACATAGTAAATTAATAGTATGTTCTCGAAATGACAAAAAATATTCAATTTATTTCCTTTCCAGTTCTTTTAAATTACTTTCAAGAAGCCAATGATGCTCATCCTGAAAGGCTTATACTTTTGTTCCAACCCGTTCACACCACCAGCCACGCCATAAAGGGTGGGTGTAGGTGGGGTGATTAGAAGAGTAGACTTAAACCAGATTTTCCCGCATAGGCCGAGAAGAGCATTTAGGATTATTTTTAACTCAATCACTCCCATTTACTAATATAATGTATTCACTAATGTAAAGCCTCTTGTATATTATATATTACCTGTTTACCGGAAAAAGACATACGGCACTGGCTCGCTGACATGCGGGTCCTGGGTTCGACTCCAGTGTGGTTTCCCCTTGTCAATAACAGAACGTAGGGCCCGACAACAAGTGTCTAGTCGTTCGGATGGGACAAAAACCGAGTCCCCGTGTACACATTGTCGTGCACGTAAAAGAAACCATGACGGAGCATTACCACCGGACAAAATTCCCCTCATAGCCCGGATGGAGCAGAAAAGTAGGACATTAAACCCCATTCCATTTCATTTCGATTCGTCTAACTAGATAAATCTGAAAAGTGATAAAGCGAAAGTTGTAAAAAAGATTTCTTGGTCGCATCTTTCAATATTTTATCGTGTTACAAATCATTCCATGCACGTATTCGAAATATTTTGGGGAAAATAATTGACATGTTCAGGTCAGCCTAAAGTTCCCGCAACTACATCTGACTCAGCGTGAAACACGAAAAGGTATTTGATGAGAAAGGGTGAGACCCATATATTATTATAATTCCTAAGCAAATGGTTATAAATATTATTTCAGTGGGAATAAACTGGAAGTTAAGTAGTATACTGAAGCGTACACCTGTGTCAATTTTTTAAACCATAATCTAATCTTTTATCATAATGGCGTGCACTGAAGTCTATATACATTAGTTTATTTAAATTGTATAAACTCTACTTACGAATATATACAGTACACATATGGACAACACACGGTAGTCTAAAACTGTGTTTAGGGCGAAGGTTTATTTGGAAAGTAAGAGAATCCTTTACTTCTGGCTTTTAAAAATGGATGTAGGAAGGGAAAGTGCAACATCTGTGAAACTGAATATCTAAACAATGCATGTCGTTTTTAGTGAAAAAAAAAAAAGCAAACTTTTGTTTTTCGCCAATTGAACGTGGCGCGTATGGCAACTGTTCTCATTACTCTTGCAACTGAATCATTTCTAAAATATCAGGACCGGCTTAATTGATCGATACATGTACTATAGCAGACTTGATGTATGGAACATAAGTTGTAAGGCAACGAAAATAAATTTACTCACAATTTTGTAGTCCGCACTGTCTTAAATTAAAACCAGTATCTACATCGAGTGGGACGTGATGGACATCGCTTCATATAGTCAGTACAAAGTGGTTACATTTTAAAAGCATGCATATATATACGTTGATATAGATTATATAGACACGATGAGTATTATCTCACCTCATAATTACCAAAACAACCCCCCACCCCCAAAAAAGAAAAAAACAACAACAACAAAACTATTGGACGTCTTTTAAAATATATAAAAAAAAACAGATATAGTTTCTGTGACAATGGGCTATACTATGAAAGATGCATTATGTAAGATTTAGATAAAGAACTGGTTGCTCTTGCTATAATAGTTCCAAAATAGATAATTCAAAATTACTTTATTCTAAGCGCTATCACTGTTTGAAGTTTTGGCATATATTGTTTATTGTCGTAGCAACGTTACTTGTTAACCGAGACTCATTAAAAGGCGATCGTATTCCCAAGAACTGAATTGTTGACAAAACACACTATTGCATCACTAGGGCTTTTAAATATGAATTTATTTGATACAACCAATCCAAACAGTGTGTCTATCCAGCATTTTTTTTTGCGGGGGGGGGGGGGGAGTTTTAAATGTCATTTGAGGTCATATTTGGAAATATTGATATTTGCGAAAAGATGTAAGCGAAGAGTAATTTTATTGAAATATAATTGGACATTACATGTTTCTGTAATATAATATACTACATTTATATTACTAATTACTTTTCAAATCTTCCATTACTCATTACATAAATATTATCATTATCCATTGATTCAGTCCGGAGTGTTGTAGTTCGAAAAGATAAATTGGTTGAATTTGTTTTTTGGGGGTTTTGGGGTGGTTTTTTTTAGTGACCCGGTGGAGTATTTTTTTTTTTTTTTTTTTTTAATTTTTTTTTTTTGGGGGGGGGGGATATAATTTGGCCTTAAATTCTCCTTTCGCAAGTAATTATGCGGTTAGATACAACGACGCCTGATTTTAACATAGAACTCAGACTCTGGAGGGCCTTCAAAATTCACACGTATTTCACATTTTGCGTAAAAAGCAGGGACTATAGCTCTAGAATGTGAGGTCTGATGCGTACCGAAGTCGAACTCATCCAACAACTTTTGATCCTTAACAATAGTTTAAGTTTCATCTCAAGCTTTGGTCAAACATTGTCGCCTCATATTTCACATTTTGCGTATAAGGCAGGGGGCCAACGAGCTCCAAAATTAAACTCATTCAATAAGTAGTGATACACGTTTTCAGTTTCATCCAAATCGAATAAAAATTGTGACCCCTAGATGGTCCACAACTTGGGCATTACATGCTTTTATACTATTTGCGTAAAGGGGACCGGCCATTTTGAAAGTTTTGGTAGGATTTTCACGAAATTCGGACTTGACCATAATTATTATTTAACGGTGATATATTTGAACGGTTTTGAAAATAAGATAAAAATGGTGACCCCTAGAGGCTCCACAAGCTAAAAAATAAACCGTAATGTTTCGTACCATCAGCGGTTATAATCCACAAAGTTACGGTCCAATACGCCCCAATATCGGAAGGAACCCAGACCTTTGGGATATCAAATTGGTTGAAAATTCGAACCTCTGGGTAATCCACAAACCTGGGTATTACATGCTTTTAAGGGTAGCAGTCATTTTGTCGGGCAGTTTCGGTCCGATTTTCACAAATTTACACTAAACCGCAATTAGGCTATGGTGTAACGGTAATATATTTGAACCGTTTTTACAAGGGTCTACAAACTAAAATGGTATGTATAGGAAGTGACGGTCCTACATCAAAATATCAAAAGAAACCGAGATCTTTCAGTGATAAACATACTTTGTCAGTTTCATCAAAATCGTATAAAAATTGTGACCTCTAGAGTGTCCAGAACCTTGGCATTATTATGCATACATTAAGTCAAGATCAGTATCGCAGGAAACCACCATCGACTGTGTTTGAGTGGTAAGGGATTTAGAAAAGAAATAAAATTTCACTTCATTGATAGCCGGAAACCGCTCAGAAAGCGTCTCTGACGATCTAAACCCAAAGGAGCTTCCGGGATCTAGGCGGCCTCTGGACCCTCGCCTAAAGTCCTAAGATGAGTGTTATTACCTCTTCCTAAAATAAAAAAATTTCGTACTGCACCAACACTAAACGACTGTATGCAATTCCGTAACTTAAGAAATTACATTAAGGTGCCATTTCTAAGGAGATTTAACTTTAGAGAAACGGCCTTAAAACGGGGTCATTCTGAATTAAATGAATTTCAAAAATTAAAAATATACGAAGTTCCAATGAAAAGTTTACCAGTTTTATTGTACAGTTTATAGAGACGGCTACAAAAACCTGCTGTGAAGTAAAATAAACGATTTACATGGCAAGAAAGGGGATGGCGTCAGCCCTCTTTATGGCTTACACGTACATGTTTTTCTTTGCCCCTTTATGTTGGGAGTTCTGGTAAATATTAACGTCGACTAGTTTGTAGAAGCCTACGTTTTGTAGCCAAACATGTCAAGTCTCGGGTTGCCTTTGTTCATCGGCTAAAGACTATATGACTGACAGTTCAAGTGTTTGTGTTTACTTAATAGAACTAAAAATAAATCGCACTCAAAGCCCA